TGTAATGTTAATTTCTGTATGTTGCTAGAATTTGGATGATGCTTTTAGAATTCATTATTTTAATGTTGATTATAAGCAAATCTGATATTCTACACAAATGATTATACTATCAGGATTTTGATTTATATTGCTGTCACATCAAAAGGGTAGTACCTATCAGATTTTCTGACATTAAATATCATGTCCTTCGCTGAAAAGCAGCCCAGAATGCCATCTCTCGAACAACTGAATTAGAGGTTTTTTGGAGGGCGGAAACTGAACCTAAAGGTTATTAAATGTGATATCAAAAATATTCACCCTATAAACACCTAACAAATTGAGAATAACTAAAAATAAATAACAAAATACCATGGAATCCTATTCATTACCTGGACATGAGTTGTAGACTCTCATGGAATTCCCAAATGAATCACAAAGCTATGTTACACCTATGCTATATCTTATGTTAAACAGAAAGCTTTTCCACTAGTCAGCATGCCCCACACATACAAATTAGGGGTCAAAATTGCACTCAGACTAACAGCTTGAGGCAAGATCTGTGATAACTATGAATTATATAAAAAAATTGAATTAGATGAAAAATTTCTGTTTTGTAGGTCTTTTATTCAGCGTTTTTAGATAAAATTACTGATTTGTAACGTTTCCGCTCCTGTGCCATTTTAAATTAATATTTATAATTTATTTCTGGGATTTTTTAAACTACATTAGTCATTATAGTATTTAATAAAAGTTTTAAAAAATTTCCAGACATAATAGTTCCCGAAAATGGCACAGGATTGCCGAAACTTTGAAAAACTGTAATTTTATTTTAAAACACCTTTAACAAAAGGCCTTCAAAAAATTTTTTTCATCTATGAATAAAAAGCACAACATAAAAAAAGAAGAATAAAAATTGAATTATGAAACTTTAAATATTCAAAACTTTTATTTGAATTAATTGAAAAAAAAACTCTTTTAAATTTGTTAGTAAGTTTCAATGATTCAATTAATCAGTGGATGAATAAGAAGGGTTGACAATAGTTATATTAGTCAGATTTATTAGTTTTTGTTTATTCGAAACATTCCTCGCACAAGTATTATTTGCAAGAAACCCGACAAAGACAAACCGTTATGCCTCAGCATTGTAAAAATAAACAAATGTATACATTATCACGAGATTATTTCAATTTATTTTGACTTCTTGGAAAAAATTACATAACAATGTCATGCAAAATTCTCAAAATGTAACGACCTCTCGTTTCCAATTTTTTTTTTTAATTCAAATTTCAATCAATTTAATAGAACATCTTATTTAGTAGTTTAAAATCCATTTAAACAAAACTTCCAAAGAATATTATTAAGAGTACTTTTTTTAGTGAACTGGCTTAATCATTTTGATGTTCCAAGGGAAAAAACTTGCTTCTCATACTTTACAAGTTAGTTATTAAGGTATCAATCAGCATATGCATTTTTATTCACATCAATTCATCTTTCTTTCATCAATTCATCATCAGTAATGTGATAAATAATTTAGTAAAATAATTAAATATTTGAAATTAATAAAGCTATAAATGCTTTCACTGGTTTTGGTAAAAATTACCTTAATAGAACTTGGCCAATATATTTGATATAAACAGCCTTTTTGTTTCTATTTCTTAACTAAACATAATAATTGCGTTTATTGCATTTTTTTAATTTATAAAAACTAAATGAAATGCCTTAATTTAATAAACCAATTTGTTGGAATTGGAGGCCACAATGGTTAAGGCATTGACATAGCAACTCATTATTGTAAAGGTCCTAGGTTCGATTCCAGTGAACCTGACCTACTTACAAATTTTTTTTTTTCCAAAAACACCGACATGCCAAGGGTTGATATGACCTCTACTGTTGCAAACCATTGTAAAAAAAAAAAAATAACACTAATCTGTTGGCTGATGAAACAAAAACAAGTGGACAATATTGACTTTATGAACTTTAAATAAATTGGACTTAATCTACCAATCAAATTGGGAAGGAAAAAACAATTCATTGGAGACAATAACTTAACTTTTTTTGTAACCTAAAGGTAACAGTACCATTGGAAAAATCCAATCATAACAACTGATTATTTTGTTGACTGATCTATTTTTTTTTAAATTAATTAAAAACAATATTGTTTCATAGCATACTTTTCTTGCCTTTGACTTTTCATAAATTATATACAATTTCATCTAAAATCCCTTAATGGAACAAGTAACTAGAAATAGATGTAATAGTCACGGTGTGTATTGTGTATATACTGTGCCCTTTAAGAGCTTAAATGTTAGTTGAGTCATTTTAAATAAAAACCTCAAAATATATTGCTGTTATGAGTTTTTCCCCTCATAAACCAAGCACAGCGTTTTTTTTCCTAAAAATTCTATCTGATCCTACCAGGAGCCATTGTTTTTGAAAAAAAAAAAAAAAACCATTTGGGTTTGAATGCAGGGCCGCTGGATTGCCGGGACCTTTTCCTTAGTCATGAGGGCTGTGTCAACACTTAAACTGTTGCGGCCACCGACACCCCTTAAATTTTATTGAACTATTGGGTTGTCCGGAAAATAATGCAGGATTTTAAGTTTTCATTAAAAAAAATCTATATAAAATATTCTGTTTACGTTTACAGGATTACTCATTTGTATGAATGTCANATTTTGATTAAAGAACATTGCTTTAAAGAAACTAGTTTCTTTTTTTTTGTTTAATACCAAAATCCTGCATTATTTTCCGGACAACCCAATAGAATAAGAGAATAACTGATTATTCAGATCACCAATCCATGTGAAATAAAAAATTTAGAAAATTAATAACAATATTTCTTCATAGGTTACATTTCTTGGATTTGATTTTTTCAGAAACAATAAGCAACAATTTCCTGGAGGGAAAAAATGTCAAATCTCTTAATGGAACAAAATTAAATAAAACAATAAAAACAGCATTGCTTTAATAGGCTATTTTTTTCTTGCTTTTGATATTTCCAATATTACATTACAATTTTATGTCAAATCCCTTAATGGACTACCTAAGCAGAATGATGGTTGATCTATCTTAAACAAAATATTTAAAAATATAGTTCAATTAATTATTCTTTTTAGGTAAGGTGTTGGTTGAGATGAAAAAGTTAGTGTCATCCTACCCACACAGTAGATACTAACTTTTTCAACCAAGACCTTAGATAAAGAGAATAATTAACTGAAGTAATTAACACAGTTAATTATGAGTGTTAAACATACATGGATTTATATTAAAAAATATTGTTACTGCATTTTTTCTTTTTCAGAAACTAAATTGAACTGTTTATTTTGTCGACTGATCCATTTAAAATCAAAATTAAAAACAATAAAAACAACATTGCTTAATAAGCTATTTTTTCAAGTTTATATTTCCAAAATAACAGGCGACAACTTTAGATCGTCTCTTAATGAATCAATGAAGTAAAATTTCAGTTCATCTATATTGAACAAAAATATATATTGTTGTCATTAAAACAATTATTGATGAAGAAAAAATCAACCACGACGATTAATGTGTTTGGATCTGGTTTCCGGTCAAATTGAATTGGTGATAAAAACTATTGTTATAGAACAATTAATTAACAATATATAAATAAAAAATAAAATAAAATAAAAAACAATATAAATTTTAAAAAATATTATCTAGAGAGCTACACAATNATTAACCAAAAAATTTAAAATATATTCTTGCTGTATTTTTTCGTTTTCAGAAACTAAATGGAAATAATCATTTTGTCAACTGATCCGTAGAAAATCAAAATTAAAAACATCATTACTTCATAGGCTATTTTTTCATGTTTACATTTCCAAAATAACAGATGACAACTTTATGCCAAATCTCTTAACAGATCAATTAAGTAAAATTTCAGTTAACCTATATTGAGCAAAAATATATATTGTTGTCATTAAAACTATCGTTATGGAACAATTAATCAACAATATTTTTCAATCAATCAGCTGCTCTATAAGCACATGTAAACAATATTGTAATTAAACTTATTGTTGGATCAATCTATCAGCTATGCTGTTTCATCAGACAATTTTCATTCTAAGCATCTGTTCACATTTACAAGACAACACATACAGCATTACTAGTTTATATTTAAGAATAAATGATTTTATGTTAATCGGATGGTGGGCATGGGAGTTTTTAATGAAATCAAAGTGGGTTTTGATTTGTGGGACGAGAGATTGGTTTTTTTTTTTTTTTTTTTTTGTTAAATTTCCTGTTTAAAAGTAAAATTGAGGACCTTTCTGACTTTATTTATCGTGTAATGAGGTGAATATTTTTTAAACGAAATTTGGGGGAAAAAAATTGTAAAGAAAAATGGCGATTCTCGTCGGAAACGGTTCACCGTAAATAAACAAGGAGCCAAAAACCAAAATGTACAGGTAGAGACAAAAACAGATTTTTTTGTGGTTATTTTGTACTTGAAACTGAACGTGATTCGAATAATAACAGGACGTTTTGAGGTGTTGAAAAAGTCGGGGGCCGCCCCCAGGCACCGTGGATGAGTTTAAATTGGCGAATTATCATAAACAACCGGGTAAGAAGGGCAGGTTCATCCGCGGTGAGACTGGCTGTCAGAATAGTAAAAAACGCGGGATTGATAGAAAATGATTGATCGTCGCCAGTACGAGAGGGCGTGTAAATAGATAAAAATAGTAAAAAGGGCGTCTGGAAAAGGGCGGAGGATGAAAAAAAAGGGCCTCCGAGAAGAACGGAAACGCGACGTGCGTATCGCCCTGGGAGAAGAGCGATAGGCGTTCTATTCGGGACGGATATGAGTTTAAACGTGAATAATAGTCTGCGAAACGCGATCGGCGGGGGCGATTTCGGACTTGGAAAACTCGTGAAAATCTTAAATCGGTTACGAACGTTGGACGGCATAGGGCAGTGTAAATAAATAAAAAACGGGCGGAACGTAAGACGAGCGATGCTACCCCGTCTAAATAGTTGTTCGGTGAAGAGGGTTTTCTACTCACCAGGCCTGGACGGCATGGGAATCCTGTTGGCCCCTTTTCTCCTCGATCGTCTCGGGTAGTATTTTGTTGACCCATACGATGCACTCGGCATTATAATCGGCTCTGGCACAACAACTAAATACAAAAGACTGAATGTTTATCAAACAAAAGATAGGGCAAAATCACCGAGTAGCCATTACTGAGGCGGAAGAGTGACGTCAGGGTATCACCTGTGATGGCCGAGAGTGCTTGATTACGGACCGACTGGAAAACGTTTCGACGTTGGAGTGGGGCGCCGGCAAACGCCAATCACGTTCTGACTTTTTAATTACGTCTCCAAAATTGGTGAACTAACCAAATTACATTTTACCGACAATAAAGATTCAAATAAGAATTTAAAAGAAATGCTTTATTTGATCGTACTTATTAATTGATTAATTAATCATCTCAATCAAGGCCATAGATAAAAAGTATCTGTGGTGATTAGTGACCGTTAATCCATATTTATTTAGAAATCGTGAGATGCGATCTGGTGTGATGTAGGTTTCAGAAAAACATTTTCTTTATCGTGCCAACGTTTCGATCTTTATTGAGATCATCTTCAGGGTCTGGGATTTATAAACATTGTTTACATATAACAATTACATTTTGGATGTGGAAAAGTGAATTTATACAATGCAAAATATATTTTTTATATATTCAATCAAAGTATTTCTACTCACTCAAAGTGTTTGTCTTCTGTGTAATTGTGCCATTGTTGCGTGTCGTGTTGAGAGTGCCTGTGAGATTTTGCTATTTTGTGTTTATATACGTTGGATTTTGAAGGGCTGGGGAAAGAAGTCGGCATAGAAAAGACATTTTTGTATAAGGCGTCGGCTTCTTTGAGGTGAAAAGAGCCGACGAATTGAAAAAATGTGTTGGTAATTGTTCGGCCAGATTATCCTTTCAGGATAGCATATCATATAAAATTAAAAGTTAAAAAACTTAGGAGATGGTATAAAATAAAGCATGTAAAGGAAAAACTTTTTTAAAACATTTGTTGTGCGATCAACCAGCCTTCATACGATGTTGATTGGGGGGGTTGTGGTCTTCAAACATACAATGTTATTATATCAACGCCCAAGCTTTCGACAAGTTTTATTGCCTTCTTCAGGGGATCTACAGAGACATAGGGACATAATCATTTAGATAGTTATAAATTGTATAAATAGTTATAAAATATCAGTTTTTTTAAATATCACATAAATTTGGCTCTTACAAGACCATATTAAAATTAATTACAATCAAAAGTTCTCTAAAATGTTTTATAAATTTAAAAGATTCACATTTTAATTTGAGATAAATTGATAGAAAATTATATATAAAAAACAAATGATTATTCTTTTGATTTGTGAAATTGTGGTTTTATCGCTTTTTTCCGATCAAATTAACGTTTTTTAATTTCAAGTCAACCCTTTTTTAAATCCCGGTCATAATATACGCAAGAATTTATATTTATATAAAATACTTCGCCTTGTTTCATGATTTGTAATTTTAATGTGTACTTTCTTTTCTTTTATATTAAAATTATCAACAAAAATCCAAGAGATCAGAAATTTATTGAAAACTTAATACATGAAAAATTTGTGTCAAGTTGTCTTGTTTCGTGGTTTTTAATTGTCATATTTGATATATAACTATTTGTGATCATGCAAGAATAAATCAATTAATTAAAAAGAGTTTCTTTTCTTTTTTTTCTTCATTACTGAATACGAAGTTCATGAGTTCCTTTTTTTTTTTTTTTTTTAATTTTAATCGACTCTACATGTAGACTGTAATCTCAGTCCTTGGCCCGCGTTTTAATTTTAACCAGTACGGAGGTTCTGCCCATTGTCCATAATTTAAAATAGCCGATTAGTGGCCAAAGCCCGGAATCGGCCGGGATTTATGAACAGTAGGGTGAGAAAAAAGAGGAAAAAGTACAATATTTCGAGTTGATGGTCTGACATCCGAAGGCTAAACACGATTCATGTGGTACACACGGCTCGTATCAATCTTACAATGTTCGGTCTTGGCCATTTCCTATGTGGCCAGCCTCTACTTGAGGACCACCAACCACAACAGGTAAATATGATTTTCCAAACTATGTCAGAGATAACGAAGGGGATGCTGTCTCAGGAAATGGCAGATGTTCAGCTATTTCCTCGCTTTAGCAATCATTAGAAACATTCTTGGTGATTTGGCCTTTAGTGACGAAGTTTTTTAGTGGCCCTGATAAGGCCGGTGTTGTTTGGGAACGTGGCGCTTAGACGATGTATCGAGGCCGGGACCGAATGTATGTGTCTGTTGGTAGAGAGAGCAGTTGGCTGGCTCTACTTTGGTTGAAGGGACTCTGGTGCAGCATTTGGCCAAGTGCAGCGGTTTGCCTGTAGCAAAGTCGGCTATGTTGAGAAGGCGAGTTCGAGGCTAACGCCGAGAGGACCCTTCCCATCGCCATAGGTGCTTCATTAATGATAAGCGAGAACTTGTCGGGTTGATGAGTCCGAAGGGTATGAATGAGACCTCATCTGGTTGACGAGACTGAAGGGTATGGGTGAGACCTCGTCGGGTTGACAAGTCTGAAGGGTATGAGTGAGACCTTGGAGATTTAATGAGTGAAAGGTATGAGTGAGACCTCATTGGGTTGATGAATCTGAAGGGTATGGGTGAGACCTCGTCGGGTTGATGAGTCTGAAGGATATGGGTGACACCTCATTGGGTTGATGAGTCTGAAGGGTATGAGTGAGACCTCGTCGGGTTAATGAGTGAAAGGTATGATCTGAGACCTCATCGGGTTGATGAGTCTGAAGGGTATGGGTGAGACCGCGTCGGGTTCATGAGTGAAAGGTATGAGTGAGTCCTTATTGGGTTGATGAGTCTGAAGGATACAGGTGAGACCTCGTCGGGTTGACGAGTCTGAAGGGGATGGGTGAGACCTCGTCGGGTTAATGAGTCTGAGGGGTATGAGTGAGACCTCATTTGGTTGACGAGTCTGAAGGGTATGGGTGAGACCTCATTGGGTTGATGAGTCTGAAGCCAGTGGGGCAGTGCCCCTGCTTATATAAGCACTGGCTCTGCTGTGATTCGCTGCAGAGTGGATGGCGAGACCATTCCAGATAAAGTAGTGACACCTAATGGCTATCGTGGTAACCATAAGTTCCTACTGTAGACCTTTTCTGTCCTCCTTTCTGTACCTTTAGTACCAATTATCGATGAATTTGATTATTTTAGGTTGTATTTCTTCTACAGTTGCATTTTACATCTGAAAGCATTTACTCATGCAGATAAGTATGGCACCACTTTTATTAAGTGCCTCTTCGCATTACCTCCACCTGTTGGTTAATGCCAATCTTTCTTGGATGTCCATTCAGTCCATGGTGCCTTGTCAATTTGTTACAGTTCAGGGCTTCTTCCTACTTACTTTGATGTATTCTATTGTTTCTTTTCAAATCTACCCTAATGTGTTATTGGATTGTGTTGTGCGCAGTGAATTACACCATGTCTTTTTTCATAAGAATCTCGATATTAATGATATACTACAGGGTTAAGGACCTAGCGGTGTAACACCTACTTTACTTGCAACTTATGTCCACTCCTTTATGTCTTAGGACAGTAGAGTGTAACCTTATTTTGCGTACATAGTCTGTTTAGTTTTGTGATTCAGCACTATTTTTGAGCTGTTTGAGTTTTATATTCTGATTGCTGCCTGGTTATCCAACATGACAGTTTTTATTTTTATACTCTCTGTTCAAATTGAATTGACTACATATCGAAATTGCGTGAATCGAGTACATATTGAAAAATGCTGATGTACTCACGGTCTCCTGCTCCTGTACCTGCTTCTGTACATTCTAGATCTATCAGTTAACCAGCAGAGTGTCTTTCTTAACGCTTTCCTTTTTCCCACTTTTTTTGGCATTTAGATTTGTCTGGAAGTTTTTTTTTAAATTCTAATGCTATTGTCTCTAAAGTTTTAGTCCTTTTGAAGATTCTTCTTTGTTTATGTTAGTAATAGTTTTCTTTGCTGCCATTGTTATTGTTTGGAGGGAGATTAATCTTAATATTTTTTCTATACCCGCCGTGCGACATCATCACAGTGATACAGAAGCTTGTGAGTTCGTCTTTTTGTGGGTTCTTTTTGTTTATTTTACTTGACATTATCGGCCTAGCCAAACGCAATGTAGTGAGGCTCTTACTGCCTTTAGTAGTCAGTGGGCCCTCAGAGGGTCTGAATCGAAGACAAGGGATCATACTCAACTAATTCTAAGAATAGAAATATCACAATTTAATTTTTTCTGTATGCGGGCCCTTTTAATAAGTGGATTTTTTAATATTTTTTTAATGGTTGGATAACAAGTTATTAATTTTTTCAGAGATGATCCTGCTACAGTTAAAAATAGAGTGGTTGCTGTCACGTTTATGGCCATTGTAACGCCATTGTCAACTTACTATTTTGTCAGCTCTTCAGAACTGTTTGCACAGGTATTTTCAAATTTTGAACAATCTACATGTAATTACTAGTTTTATCACTACTAGTTAAGGATCATCATGTTATAGCATCACAATTTATCAGGCTAACTCACATTGTACATTCATTTAAACAAATAGAAATACTTCAGTCTTTTAATTAAATCATGATGAATAATGGTAAATTTAGTGTACAATGAAAAAAAGTTTTGATTTTTTTTCTTTTACTGATGTAAGCTGTTTACTGTTTCACTTATAACAACTTGCTACAGCACAGCAGCAAGTTTTTAGGCTAACTGCAATGGCAGGATGGATGACCTAGGTTGATCTCGAATTGCCAAAAACGCTAAAGTTAGTGATTCTCATTGCCTGCTAATTCTGAAATAATCAGAAAATAATTGTATTGGGCTGTTGCAAAAATTATGCAGATTTGGAAAAGAGAGACAAAACTATTTTTAATTGTTATAAAATGCTGTAAATTTATTCAAAATATTTTTCATCGCAATCTGTACATCTTGCCAATATGTAATAAGCACTTTTATTCCACTGACATAAAAATCTTTATTTTGACTTGCAATAAAGTCTTTGAAGGCGAGTCTGGCTTCACAGTATTCTCTAAAAAATTTATCCCTCAAGAAGTGATCAAAATGCCTAAAAAAGTGGAAGTCTATAGGCGATAAGTCAGGTGAATATGGAGGTTGTGGTAAGGTTTCATATGCTAAGTCCTTAAGTTTCTGTGTGGTTGGCATTGCGACATGTGGCCTGGCGTTATCGCGAAGAAGAATCGGCCCCTTATTGTTTACCAATGTTTGACAAAGACATTGCAGTTTCCCGCACATTTTGTCAATTTCTTGGCAGTATTTCTCTCCTGTGATAGTTTCACTGTAATTCAGGTAATTATAGTGAACGTCCCCAGCAGTGCATCACCAAACAGTCACCATAACCTTTCATGAGCGCAGATTTGGTTTCGGGAAGTGTTTTGCCCCTTGATCCTTGTCCAACCACTGACCCTGTACGCCTCCTGTTATTGTACAGAATCCATTTCTCATCGCATGTGATGATTCAATCAAAAAATGGATCATTTTGGTGGCGCAACAGAAGAGACGTGCAAATTTCAGTGTTGATTTCTTTGGGCTTGTTAGCTCGTGCAGTATCCACTTGTCGAGTTTTTTTATTTTACCAATTTGTTCCAGATTGCAAACAATGGTTGAGTTCTTCCGCAATTTCCCGTTTGTCTTAAGTAAATTTTCTTCAGTCAAGTTTTTGAATTGGTTGTCGTCCATAACGGAAGGCCTACCGCGACCCTCCCTTTCTTCGAGATCGAAATCTCCAAGATAAAATGTTTGAAACCACTGCTGCACCATGCATTTGCTATGCTTCCCTCCCCCCAAACTGTATTGATGTTCCATGTGGTTTGGGTCGCACGTTACCCAAGTTTAAATTCGTACAAATAAATTTGACAAAAATTTAGTTCGGACATACTCAATTTCACAGGTCCTCACTCTTATAAAATTCAATATAAAGTAAAATGTTTTGTATAAAAGATAACAGTTACATTTATTATAATCCTGAATTAGATTTGAGGATTTAGCTTTGTTTCATGACAAGCATCTGCGAAAATAAAACAAATTTTCAAAACCTGCATTAATTTTGCACCAGCCCAATGTATATTTTAAGAGTATATAGTATCATTAAGAGTACCGGCACTTCTAAAGTCTGAAGTCAAGTGGCAGAAACTCGTTGTTTCCAAAACTTTCTGAGAATTGCTAACCTTCTGCTAAAGCAATGTCGCCCACATACAGATACATACTTCTGAAGTCTGGAGTCACACAGCATAACCTCACTATTTCCAAAACCTGAGAATTGCTGACATGCTGCTACTTCTGAAGTCTGAATTCACAAGGCAGAAGCTTGCTATTTCCACAATCCTCTGGAAATTGCTAACACCCTATTATATTCCATATAATACCTTTAGTTGGTTTTTTAAGTTTTCTCTGGCTTGTTTGTCAATCATTCTAACTGCTCCTTATGTCTTTGATTTTTTGTTCTCTATAAAATTGTTCATAATCAAAATTCTGCATTATTACAAGAGTAATGTAATAATAAGTCCTAAATTTTCATTAGTGATACTAAGATTAAGTCTTATAAGCATATATTGAATGGTCCATAAAATATATGTTTTACATAATTTTCATAAAAATGTTTTTATGTAAGATAGTGAAAATATTAAAATAAAAGAAACTTACAGGAAGATTAGTTTTATCTGATTGCATTTGTTTCTAGTATACACTATGGGAAATTTTGGGTATAAGACTTCCTGGATTTTTTATGGCAGCTACTGTACCATTGATTCTAACCATGATTCTCTTCGCGGGACCTATTGCGATTCAAAACCAAAATGGTCACTCGGATTTGTACAAAGGTAAATAATTGAATTGATATTGTGTTTGTAAATTTACAACATTTTATGTTTTTCTTTCAGAGCCAAGTTACTGGTTTGATAACTTGACCGATTTGTTATGGCTCCGAGATTACATAATCGCTCCATTTTCTGAAGAGCTAACATTCAGAGCATGTATGCTACCCATTCTCATCCAGTGTTTTCGCCCTCAGACTGCTGTCTTTGTTTCTCCAATATTTTTTGGCCTTGGTTAGTATAAGCGTTTTTTTAAATTATTTGTTCTAATGAGCTCTAAAAACATGCTTTTTTATTGTTTAATTTTATGTTTAATAATATGGCTATGTTTAGCTCATCTTCACCATATGGTTGGACGTATAAGATCTGGTGTAAATTTACATACTGCACTTCTTATCTCAAGTAAGTCACAGTACAAAATATTGTTTACAAATTATTTAACATGTCTAACTTTTTTCTAGTATTTCAACTATCATATACAACGTTATTTGGTGCCTACTCAGCCTACTTGTTTCTCAGGACTGGACATTTTATTTCAGCGTTTTTAACCCATGCTTTTTGTAATCTCATGGGGTTTCCTGATTTTTCTGAAGTTCTGGCATTAAGAGAACCTCGAAGAAGTATAATAATAGCGACTTGCGTCGTAGGTTTATTAGCTTGGTCTTCGATGCTGGGACCGTTGACGAATCCATCTTGGTATCACAACTCATTGTACTGGAAATCATATGTCTAGTGAGTATAGCGCAGTCATACACCTAGTAATATTAAAATTCTTACTTCGAATAAAGTACAGCAAGTTGAAAATGTATTAATTTCTGTTATGTTACTAAAGTTTTATAAATTGTTATTGTGATAAGAAGTTTTGACCCATTGTTATTGTCATTAGCTAAGAACATTCATCTGACCATTGTCTTGAACCATGACTTTATAAAAACAATTTTTTATTTTTATTTTTAAAGATATGCTCAATAACACAAAAATGCAAGGGAGAGTCAAAAATGATGCATTCCTTCATTATCCCACAGTCAGAATAAAGTGTTTTATTATTTAATTTTATTTAATATTATTTATATTTTTTGTATTTTTTATTTCTATGATACTGAAATAATATATGAAATGAACAGTTTTTCTCAAAAATGCTATATTATACAATCTACATTGTTTATTTTATTTTATTTTTTTTTAATAGCAATATTTCTTTTTTTTTTATTTATGGGAATTTGATTCGGGTTCGTTAATAATATTTTTTTAAATTCTTTACCATACATGTAGCTGTATGTTTGCACAATGCATCTTCTGAAATCACCAGTAAAGCCGGGAACACACTTACCCGATGCTACCCAACGCAAATCCAAATTCCGATTGTCCATAAGGTTGCATTACCCCTGTGCACATCTGTCCGATGCTATGCCACGCTAACCTACTCGACGCTCTGCGATCCCCACTGTCCAGATTTTTGTCGGGTCGCATCGAGTACAGTTGAAGACAAAAGAACCGGACACTCATATTTTTATTCAAACTACATATATTATTACAACATGCTTATTTTACTATAAATCAAATTAACCGAGATCAAAAATTCATTAGTTTTTATTTAAAAAAATTAATTTTAATGGTTTGGTAGAAAATCAATCAAAATACTAGAATATCATTTTTTCACCATTCATCATTTTTATTACACGGTTTTGCTCATAAAATCTAACTAACAGTTTATTTCATGGTTTTGCTCGTAAAATTACATCATTTTTGTCGGGTAGCATCAGAACAGGGCACTCATATTTTTTGTAGTTTATTTCAAACTAAATTTGGTCGTTGTATTAATTACAACATGTTATTTTAATATAAACCACACTAAACGAGATAAAAAATTCATGTTTTTATAAACATTATTTAATTATGATGGTTAAGAATAACTTTATTTAAAACAATTAAGTTTAACCACGAATTTATTAGATGGTTGTGCTCATAAAATTTAACTAACAATTTATTACAAGGTTTTGCTCAACATAGTGCATTAAGAACTAAAGGCATTGTGATTATGATACTGATTGGTGATACACGCTTTGTGACTGTACGTGGCGTGCGCTTGACGTCGCATAGATGTGCACACCCTTCCAAAACGTGGCAAGGCGACGGGTAGTATCCATCGGGTAGTGTTACATGGCGTTGCATCGCATCAGTGTGTTCCTGGCTTAATTCTTTCATAAAAGGGGCATGCATTCTGGCATGATGAATCCATCAAAAAATCCAATGCCACACAAGGACGTTTTTGTCAGATTTATCAACTCCTCCATGTAAGTTGTACTTTCTGTTTAACATGATAGCCAGACCTGTTTACTTTTATTTATTTTCACACAATGGCAATTATATGCTATTGTGTCAATGTTTCATTTTACAGCAAAAAGTTGTTTCAATTTTTGTAGAAAAATGTTCTTTTCTGGAAGATTATTTGTTATTTACAAACCTGGAGATGCCGCGGTATTTCAGTGGCAACTTATGAGAACATAAAAGGGTTATTTTGATTTCTTATTGTGTGATAACGCTTTCAAAACATTGATTAACGAGGGAAGACTACAGACAGGAGATCACCGATTTCAATAATTTTTTTTGTGATAATAGGCCGAAAAATATTTATGTGAGTGTTCTTACCAATGGGCCCGAGGAGCCGAGAGAAAAAATAATATTCTGATTAATTTTTATAAATTTTTTAATTATGTATATCTGTCTTTGTAACTGTATATTTTAGGTAGTATGTAGTGTAAGGTTATACAGTTGACTCATTTTAAGTAGAATGAGAAAATAAAATGCAAGACGAAATTATATATATAAAAACTTTTGAAAACTAAAACATGCTTCCAGTAAAGTAGGCCAAAAAACCTTTTTGTTAGGAGGTGAGGATAAATAGGACCCATCGTCTAGAATGCCACTATCAAATATTTTTTAGCCATATCAAAAAAAAAAAAATATGTATATATATAAAACCCATTTTTGGGTCAAAATATTGAAAGAATATATATCATCAGTTCAAATTATTCTAGAAAGGCTGGTTGTGTTCAGTTAGAAGATATGTTGATCACAATCGATAGGAAGTGGAAGCCGAGACATCTTAAGTTTATTTTTTTGATATAATTTTGGTGGTGACTATGGATGTTGGTGGGGATGCCTGTTTCTTCTATAATAATGGAGTAAAAAAAGCTGTAAGCAAATAAGATACAATAAAAATTAATGCTTATTTTTAATCAAACATTGTGACAAACCATGCTAGCAGAAAGTATAAGTAAACCTGCGACTTTATTACTAATTATTTATTATCATTTTTTTAATCAATTATTTTTTATATTATGGCTTTAATTGCTTAAATATTAATTTAGATGGTGCTCCCAACGTGGAATAGTTTTTCAATTTATACCAAATCAACTAGTAGTAAATTAAATTCTTTTTTACTCACCTAGCAGTTTTTTTGTGCAATATTGAGGCCTAGAAAATATTTAGCCTGTAGATAAATTCTAGAATCTTAACAATTGAGTGTTTTAGGGTTTTTTGACAAAATGATGGGTTTTAATTAAGGTTGATGCATTAATAGATTTAAAGAGATTCATGTCAGTCAAGGGATAAGTGAGTGTCTAAATGAACTATAAAAGTATGTCATTCCAATGAAATTTGGATCATTGTGATTTTAAACTATTCTTGGAATTGCATTAATAACTGTGATACTTTAAAATATTGGGTTTTAATTGTTAACAAAGCTCTTAAGAACTTACATTTGAAAAAAAGGTGTTTGTTGTGATTTTTTGTTATAGTGAATTCACTCTTATTAGATGAAATGTCCAATTCTAATCACCTTTTAACATGAATTTTTTACATTTTTCATTGATTGAAGTCTCCTCATTTAATTCAGTATCATGAAGTTAAAAAGTATTTACATTTAAAAACATTTGTTTAAGTTTATTACAATGTGCTCATTGCCAATGTAGTTGTTTCAAACTACCTTATTTTTTAAAAGATGTTCATCTTTTTTTTTTTTCCGAATACAATTCATAAGTTCCTGAAACTTCTCAAAATATTGCCAACTTGTATCCCGTGTAACAGTAGTGACACACGTAGCAGTTGAATAAAACGTTGGGATGAGAAAGACTGAATTGCAAGAAATTTTGATGAGGAAATATGAGAACACTAGGCAGAGATAAATTTGAGTTTTAAAATAATTATTGAATCACATGAATAAGAGTGATTTTGTAAATTTCTCATCTTCAAAAAACGCAATCGCTTAAGGCTTTTGGGTTGCCAATTGCTGCTGTTTGGCGGGGTTGGGCCCTGCAGTGGCTGGCAAAATGAGCAGGGCGTTCACAATTGAAGCATTCTCTCCATTGGCGGGTTACTGGTGGCCCCCTTGTGGGCGGAGTTTTACAATCCCGTACCACATGGCCTGGTTGTCCACATCAATAGCATGTCATCTTCCTTTCCTGCATTATCTTGTTTTAAGATGGCTATTTCCTTCGCCAAAGCTGCCATGTGTGTAATTTATATTGATGTGTTTTGAAGGGTACGTAATATTAACATAGAATTTTCTTACCTTGTTGTATGTTTTCAAATTTATTTACATTGTCTTAATCATTGCAATCGAAAATAAGTTTTTTAGTGCTTTTGTCTCTCTTTACTTTCAACCACAAAAAACCTTTTTTGGTCTTTTTTTCAATTTAACACATTCAGTGATGGCAGGAATTTTAAAAAAAATTAATTTTCTTATTCATTATGACCTGCCATCTGGGCAGTTGGGACTCTTTGGCTCTCTTGAAAGTCAGCATTGAACGTGTTAAGGCTAATATGGTTGGATTATAAACAAGATTATAGGACCTTTCATGTTACATTCAATTCACTTATATCACTTTAAACCTTAATAATTTTCTTTATTTGGGAGAACAAATGTGGTTTGTTAAACTAAAATTTCATTTATAAAATTGAGCTTCCATTTGTGATTATTGTGTAATCACATTCTGTGATAATCATTCTCTCCTATTAATACTTTGTAATATGTTTCTTCAATTTCAATTTGTAAGATAACTAGTTCAATGTATGTTGTTATGAATACTAATATAAGATAATTATTGACTTTTTTTGTTAATGTCAAAGTATAAAAGCTTATAAACTGAAAATGATTTAACTATTTTTTAATAATAAATAACGAAGTTCATATATTATTAAGTTAAATAGAGGACAAACTTTATACAAAAAAACTTTTTAATTACAACCCTTTACAGTCAAATTAAAACTATGAATAATGTAATATAAGTAACTAATAAAATATTGTATACAATTGTTTATTAGAATGTGTAATTCAGAAGTAACAACGGAAGCAATAATGATAATATTTGAATAGAAAAACAAACAAAAAATATGTTTTATTTTCTAGAGTATTTAAACATTAGTATTAAAATCTTGTTAAAATGAAGAAGTGTAATACATTCGGTCAAATCACTTGGTGTTCATTTACATGTAGAAAATCAATAATAGGTACTTAAAACGAATAACTAATGTGAGACTGAAATAAAATTACGTAACACTTTGTTGTGACATTTAAAAAAGAAGCAATGAATTTTGAGTACCTTATTAAAAAAAAACAGTGTATTACCCTTAATTATACTGTGCCATTGTACAACTTTAAATACTAATTTTATTAGTGGAAAACTAATTATAGTGCCTTTTTCTTCAAGAAATTGTTTGTTTTTCTAATAAAATAGTTCTTATAATGCATGTTGTTTATTTTCTTCCTGCAGGCAAATTTCTGAAAACTGATTCAAACTGGTTCAAAACCAGTAGAGCTCATGTTTTTTAATTTAATAAAAATATGTTAAAAGTGTAAACTGGTTCTAGCCCATGATCCGTGACACACAACGGCTAGTTGGACTTTGCTGTATAACATTTGGAAGCAAAACACGACCAGGTAACCAGAAAAGTTCATGTGGGTTTAAAGGGTTTAATAATTGTCACAATTAAAATTTAAAAATATTTTATTTGTGGTAATGGTCTTCATCAGCATCCATAACCTTCTCCTGAGTTACTAGCCCAGTTATTCCCTTCTTATAAAAGTTTGGGCCCCGGGATTATAAAAAATAAATACAGCTCATTTTCCAGCTTTTGGTGATTATCAAACTACCAATTGTACATGGTCGTGAGAATATTTAGAGCCTACCTTAGTGTGGAGCTACATTCCTAAAAGATCGTGAGAGGTACAAGTGGTGTACATACCAAAAGTAGGATGACCCATTCACTACAAGCTCAACTCATACAGTCCTATCAGTCTCACATCATTCATGTTAAAAACTTTAGAAAGACTATAGAGAACCACATTCGAGAGACAGTACTGAAGAACAAACCTCTCAATGAGTGACAATTCACATACCAACCAGGAAAATCCACAGAGCTAGCCCCTGATGATCCGAGTTAATGCCTAACCAAGTCCATCAATGACAAGGAGATAGCTGTAACACTTTTTATGTAACAGAGAGAGCCGTTGGCTAAGGCCCGGGGCCGTGTAAGCTGTGAGTGAGTCGGTTGACTCTGCAGAGGGACTCTGGTGCAGCAAGTTGCTGAGTGCAGCAGTTGGCCAACAGCCAAGTCAGCTGTGTTGAGAAAGCAAGTTCGAGGCAAATCTGCGAGTTCTCTTGCTGTCATAGTTGGTGCTCATTAGTGATTGTTGAGAGCTCGTTGAATTAACAAGTCTGACTGCTGAGGTGAGAGCTCATTGAGTAGACAAGTATGAAGCCAGTGGGGCAGTGCCCCTGCTTATATACGAAATGGCTCTACTCTGATTGGCTGCAGAGTGGAGGGCAAGGTTCACCTGCAATCCCCTCATTCCCAGAAGCAAACATTTTGAACCACTTTTGGGCAGTGGGCTCACTTATTGTTTTATACAATAAGCACGCACAAACAGGTTTTGATCCTTGGGAAAGAAAATAATTTATAATTTACAGTAAACTGTTCGTCACTCTCTTTAAGAACAGATGTATTATCCTCTTGGTATTACATGATGTGACCATCTAATCCTTCTATGCAAATAGAAATGTTGATTAACGGTATTAAAACAATATATGAAAAACCGCATGAACTTGAGAGCCTGGGGGCCGGTTACCCGGTATGCCGGAGGATTGAAGCAAAGTTGAAATTTACCACAATATGCACTTTTGTCTGTGGTATAAAAGTTACTCTCCATAGTACACAACCAAAAGCTGGAAAACTAGGCTGATAGGGCTTCCACTAGTGTGTGGCTTCTGACAAGGGAGATAAGACTTAATATTTTTACAATTTATCAATAAAAGTGTGTCTAGTATACTAAGTCTCACTGTTAGAAATAACTAGCAAAATGTAAGCCTGTACCATTTTTTGTTTTTTATAATTTTATGCTGGCATATTCAATAAATAGGGAGATGGTGATGAGGGATATGAGTTGATGAAGAAAATGCAAGGCAGCTATAAAGGCATTAAATGTTTGTAATTAGCACCGAACAAGGTACCTTGCAATTGGTTCAAGACATAAAAGTATAGGAGGAAACAAACAGGCTGACCATCTATCTAAAGGAAGGCTCTCCTCCACACAAGGAACACACCTAGGCACACTGAATGAAGAATGCTAATGTGGAGGTGGAAAAATTATTTGAGAAAAAACTCAAGCTTCAGACAAAAGCACCAGCTATGATGCAAGCTAAGAGATTTGCAAATCTCAGGAATTTTCTTTTCCTTCTTTCTACCCTTGTTTTGGGGACCAATATAAAAGGGGAGGACCAGTTCCTTATAACCTAGTCTTAGTCGCGGATAACCCCGAGCAGCTACAGGCAAATATTAACCTACTTCAGCATTACTACGAAAAATGGGGATTTGGTGGTCAACTTTGCCAAATCAAAAATAATGATTTTCAAAAAGGGGGAGAGATGTGCAGCTACAGAATACTGGGCATATGCCTCAATGGAAATAGCAATTGTCAGTGAATGCCCCTATCTTGGGACGGTGCTCAATCCAATGATCAGTTTTGTTAAGCAAAGAAAAAAGCGGAATTGGCAAATATTGTGGTTAATTATGTTTTGCAGAGGTCGTTTGGCAACAGAGTTGTGCATTGAAGTGCCAAATTTACCATATTCAGGGCAGTCTTCCGAGCTATTTTATTCTATGGGGTTATGAGGTGTATATGGCATTACACTCCACCTGTATTACATAGTAAAAGTGGCTTCCATTTTGTTATTGGACATCACTGATTATGGTGAAAGGTTGAAAAACGTCGGACAGACCAACCTAGCTAGGATAGGCAGACCAAAATGGTAGGTAACAACCAAATTACAATGTTCATAACCCCACAGACCACATTCCAGATGGCAAACCTCCTTCCAAAAAATTTGGCAGTAGAATGCATAAAAGAAGGTGCGTTTTTGGCAGAAATATCACTTGCCTGCCAAGAAAATACCATATCCCAGATCACCTTTAATGGATGGATGGGATGGATAGAAAGGTATAAAAATCAAATTTAAAAAATTAAAAAAAAATTCAAAATATGCACCCAACTAACCAACAAATTTAAGTTGTACCAGAGGATAAATAACAGACATGTGAGCCTAGAAAGCAATGCAGGAGTGGATCTTTGGCATGATGGAAAAATCGCTAAATCTTAACACCAAACCCTATGATGTAGATAGAGACATACAGGCAAAGTGCTAGAAACATTACTCAAATTTGTTTTTGTTTTTTTGATCTAGGTGAGGAGCTGTGAAGGTAAATATTTTTCAGTTGTTATATTTTTTATAATCTTTATTTGAATATTGCTTTAAATTATAGAACTTGTGTGTTTTAATAAACACATATAAATTAAATTGACCCAAATATTAGGACTTAACCCATTATTAGGAATTTCAATTTTTCACCCCACCCCTTGATGACAAATTTTTTGAAAATTTTTCTTAAGCATTATTTCACTGGTTGGAATAAGGTGAGCCGCATTGAACATAATGCACTATTAATTAGCAAAGATGGTGGAGGTAAAATAATACTAAATGCTTATAAGTTGTGATATTATTATTGGCTTTATTTAGAAGTGACAAACTTTTTATTCATTATATAACAAAATAAATAAACTATCTAGTAATTAAGGCATGTGTATACAAAAGCACGAATGAATTTTATGTCTTCATATGTATTTATTACAACAGCATCTAGTTATCAAGTGATGGTACCTACAAGAATTAGCATGAAGGAAGGAGCAGTCAGCATATTTACATTCTAGAGGAAGCTGGTTATCTGGAAAAAAATAAATATATGCATGGATTATTATGTCTTATTAAATTTTTCTTTTCAAATTTATCATTTGATCTTTACGGATCAATTTTGTCTGTCCCTAAAAAGGTGGCCTTTGTGTTATTAAATTATGCTCCGAATTAAAGCATTTTGTCCACTGATTATGGTGAAAGGTTGAAAAACATCTGACAGACCAACCCAGCTAGAATAGGCAGACCAAAATGATAGGTAACAACCAAATTACAATGTTCGTCATCCCACAGACCACATGGATAAATCTCATTTTAAATTTAAAGGCTAAAAATAATACTTATGTGCACATCAGGCAGTATTTGTTATTGATGCTCACCATATGGGTTCAAACAGCAGCACGCATCGTGAAGGAGTTTGTCTGTACAGTAGCCGAAGACTGATGAATCACAGTATGGGCATCCTTTAACAAATTTCATCAAACCTTTTGCCGAAGTGGAATGTACATCTGTAAAAGTTCAATCTCAGTTTTAATCTGTATTAACACATATAACCAGCTTCACATTTTTGTTTAAAAGTTGACGACCAAGTTCGTTGGTTAAAATGGTTTAATTTAATTAGTCTAAAATGACTCATCTTACATAGAATTCTATGTACCTGTAGCCATTATGTTTTACATTTTGTAATATGGATATGCTTTTAGGCTGTATATACCATTTTGGGGGGAGGGGGGTAGTTAGGTCAGGTCAGAGTTTTTAATTTGTATCCTGTACATATATTCCTATATAAAATAAATAAATGATTATTCGGAAATCATGAGATCCGGTCTGGTGTGACATAGGCTTCAGAAAAATATTTTATTTATTGTGCCAACGTTTCGATCTTTATTGAGATCATCTTCAGGGCTCAAAGTGTTTGTTTTCTGTGTAAAATCACACAAAGTAAATAAAATTAATAATGCATAATAATAAAATTAACCATTTGGTCTTCTGATTTTCACCCAGTTTCATCACTGGCACTACAGCCAGTATTGATCCCAGAAGATACAGGTCTTGGGTAACCAGCCTACGGAAGCACTCTCATTTTTGATGCTTACACATAGTTTAAGGCAACATGGAGGATTTTGGGGATGGTAGCAAAGAGGGCTTGGGCGGAAGGGTTAGGGTGAGACGAAAAGCTAGATTTGAGAATTCTTCTGAGGTCTTTTGGTTGGAATGAGTGAATATTGGATGGTTTCATGGTACCCTACAGTTCTGCTCACGTCAGAGGCACTACAGTCTACTACTGCTATGACCTGATGCATATCTTTAAAAACCAGTCTATGCCGGTACTCTTGGTTTTGAGGGATTAGGGTGCGACGAAAGATCAGAGTGGAACTTCAGGAAGCGGGAACAGATCGTCATAAATGAAGTAAATAGAGAGCTTAGATATGTAGTAAGGGGCTTGTATAATTATTTTGAGAACTTTTGATTGGGATTGATGGATGAGTTGGATAGTGGATGGCTTCTTGGTGTCCCAGTTATGCTACAATCAGTGGCATTACAGTGAGCCCTGCTCCCAAAGTACATGTCTTCAGAAACTGGCCTCTCACTTCTGTGGGATTAGTGGGCGAGTAGGTCTCTGGGCTATTCTGAGAATGGAAGATAATAGACAGGAAAGGAAAGGTTAGGAAAAGACAAAAGGTTAGAATGGCACTTGCATGCATTATGCATAGTTCTGTCCAAATAGTCCAAAAACGTTGGATTATTGTTTTGTGGAGTGTTTTTGATTACAGTCAAGTCTGACAAGCCCCAGCAGACTTCTTAGTTGTCCAAGTATTCTATTGAGTCGTGTGTAGAGTCTTATCCTCACCAGTCTGCTGACTAGTTATAGTCCTTAGCATTTCACTTGGGTGGATGTTGGTAATTCCTTGTTGGCGTGACACAAAAATGATTTGGGTGCAGATTTCATCTTCATTTGATTCATATTCCATTCTTCGATGATTTCGAGATGTCTTTGGATATTAGCAGTATGGTAATGGATTGGTCTATGAGAAGTATAAATAGTGACTAAGTTGAGATCAAGATGCTTCCTTGTGGGATACCGGATTGGTTTTACCTTTGACATATTATTGTCAAAACCTTACTATGAAGCAGGATTTAAAAATTAGGAATGTAATAAGGATTGAGTTATGCCCAGATGTGTCTAAAAACAGCACAAGCAGTACTCTTTTCTTTCCTAACGAGAACTGTATGGTATCTGAAACTCTAAAACTTTGGAGTGTTGAGGCGAATAGGCATGATCTTATGTAAAATTAAGAAGAGAGTTTTCAGAGGAGTCATTCGATGATTTTGGACATCACTGGGAGATGGCTGATCTATTGGAGGATACTACCTACAGGGAAGGGTAAAGTGAGAGGTGTGGATATGGAGGAGTATTGTAGCGGTTGAGGATTTATGAATAAGAAATGTGACGGTGGTTTATGGTTATGTCAGGTCGTAAGTTACATATCCATGATTCACTGTTTTCCCATGGAACTGAGAATATATGCGGGTGCAAAATTTCATGTATTTTATCTCACTGAAAACATCTAATTTGTACATGTAGAAAATTTTTTAAAGTGTATTCTCCAGTGGATATAAAGAGCTCTAAGAGATATAGAATGTTCAAATATGTAATTGAAGGACGTATCAGTGAAAAGTAAGTAGTCCACTTTTTAATCATAGAACAAGGCATGAAAGAAATGTTTATTAATTGTCAAAGGGGAAAAATCCAGGGGAAATCCAGTTAAAAAGGATTGTCAAGGATATATTTAATCATACCGTCAGGGACCTTTAGAAACGATTCCTGTTACTAGTGCTTTTGAGAAAAGAGAGAGGGAGAGAGAGACAGAGAGAAAGTTTACTGAGTAATTTTTACGTTCTTCTTACTCGATGATTTTTTAATGGCAATTTAGAAGGTGGCTTTTGACAAACGTGTTTAAAAAAATGAACTCTGCTGACAAAATAACGCACAGACTAACCAGTGAAGATGGCGGAATAACGAAACGAGTCTGAGCGATTACAGTAAAACGGTCAAACTATATAATATTTTCATTTTCTTCTAATGGCCAAAAGAGTTAATAATGCTGTCCAACAACCCGAAGAACAGGTTACAACTACTCAAATACTGGGTTGTTAAAAAAGACCTTGTGTATGACCTTTAAATTTTTTGTTTATATCATTTTTATAATGGTTACTGTCTGTACTTAGCGGTCTTTTGGGACATGATTAATATAAAGGAATAAGCGTGAAATCGCAGGCTGAAGAAATTTGTAGGGGGCGTCGGTGGCCGCAAGGTTTAGTCGTTGACACGGCGCTCATCACTGTAAGGTAAAGGTCCGGGGGTCGAACCCAGCGGCCCTGCATTCGGACCCGGCCTATGAACTTACAAATGGGCTTTTTTTCAAAAACACCGGCACCCTGAGGGTTTATATGACCTCTGCTGTTGCGAACCCTCGTTTAAAAAAAAAAAAAAAAAAAAAAAAAAAATTGTAGAAGGTGAAAGGGCGTGCAAATTGCGGAAGTGTTTTGTCCGAAGTTTTAATTGTGGGAACAACGTCCTTCACAAGTTGATCTTTTACAAAGTAATGCTTAATTACTCTAGGTTGTAAGTTAGGTAATATAGTTTTAAAAAGTGAAGCGCTTTGGCCGACAGGAATGAAGCAGTACTGTGAGACATGGTGACGATCCTTCATGGAAGAATATCAAATGGTTATTTTCGAAAAAAAGTCAAGGGCAGGCAATTAAATCAGAGATTTTTCCAATAAGGAAGTGTTTGAAGGTATGCACTTTGATCCCGTTCCAGATACCAGGGCTATTGACTCATTAATATGACGATACTAGTTTTTGAAGGAATCCTGCTTTCATTAACGACGGTTTTTCAGGCAAAAATCGCAGCAATTGAACTCTGGACAAAAGATATTAAAAAAAATTAAATAAATAAATAAACGGAATACAAGGCAAAAAGGTGGTTGTTTTGTTAGCCAAACTTCAAGAAGAGGCTGATAGACTAGCCAGGGAGAAGTCTCAACACCATCCTCCTGTGTCTACAAAGATTTGAACTGATTAAGATTGATTCTTCATTTCTTTATTCCTCAAATTTGTCTGGTCAGCTCTTGAAGGTTTTTGGAAGAATGGTCGATGCTCCGTATCACCATTGTATCATATGCAAAAAAAGGCTGGGAATAGAAGACAAAAGGATTGCTAGAAATGGTGAATAATGGAGTGTGCGGTTTTCAATCCTTTTTTAAAAAAGATAGTTCATACTCACATTAAGTTGTTTTCCAACAATCCGGATTTCGAGCCCTTAGCTCATCATCAGTTTGAAGGAGTTCTACAACCACGTCTCTCGACTTGGATGAATTGCAAAAGTGAACCCGCCGATCTTGGACGATGAGCTAAGGGCTTGAAATCCGGATCGTTGGAAAACAACTTAATGTAAGTAAGAACTATCTTTTAAAAAAAAGGATTAAAGTAGTGCTATTCTGATAGACAAGCTGTGCTTAAAGTATTGGCTACATCAGAGGTAAAATCTACTAAAATCCACTACTACTATAAAAAAGGTAAAAAACGAACAAACTGTTTTGTCAGCAGATCTGCAATGATCCTGAGTTTTATTCGCCTATGATACAGCAGATCTGTATGGTACGCAGTGCGACAGGTTTGTAGCATAACCTAATTTTAATCCTAACCTAATTTAAACTAACTACAATAAAAAAATACTGCAGACAATCCTCCTGTACACCGAGCGAATTTACAGAAATAAAAAGAATGTCTTGACTTCTGCTTGAAAGACTTTTTACCAGATCCCAAAGCTCTGTTGATGGCTCCTGAGTTTATTCTACGGCCCTTGACTTTGGCACCCTGTTTATATCTCAAATGTCTCCCTATGTGACTTTAATTATTGTTGCCATTGCTTAAATAAAAATAGTATGTAGATAAAATATGTTGAATATATTTCCCATCGTGGCAATTGAATTGAATTCATGTCTTCTTCGTAGTGGTTAAAAAATCATAACATTTTTAAAAAGTCATTACATGGCAGTTTTTACTGGCAATAAATATAGCCTTTTTCTATGTTTGATACTTAAATGATATCTAACAGAAAATCGCGGTTGTGGAATTCGGTCAATCCCATTCGAAGGTGTAAAGAATACCGTAAGGTTCGGGTCCTCCCGGCCAAACTTTCCCTATTTTAGTAATTTAAAAAAATCCCATTTGGGTTGGAGATATGTTAAACATCTAAAATGCAACTTTTTTCTTGTTTTTACAAACGTGTTTGGCAACTTCACCTAAGGTGGGTTGAAATTATTATGAAACGGCCGGCATAATCTCCAATACGGGCATTTTAATTAATTACGATAATTGACTAACTTGACCCAAAGAGTCTTTCAACCTGGCTGAAAATGGCCAAGCAATTTGCTCTAATCTTTATAATAAATTTAAACGCATGTTCAAATAAACACTGTTACTTTTTATGTTTCAGTTCTTGTTTGTTACTTGTTCGTAATGAGTAATGGCACAATCAAGTTTAGAGCTGAGACAATTTCTATTATCCATTGTTAAAATCTGAAGTACCGTTTTAAGACAGAGTAGAACAGATTCATTGACTGCCGTTGCTACAGTAGTTCCTTTCTCTGGGTTTTCTTTATACCCCATGTTATGTCTCCATTGAGCTGTTGCTTCGCATTCGAAGATGATATGGGTGGCTGTTTCTTCCTCCTCATGGCATAAAAACTACAAATGTTATGTAGATGTTTTCTTAGATGCCAGTGACCGGTAAATAGTGCTATCACTACTCTTAGTTCAGCCCTCTCGAAACTTTAACATAATACTGTGTCTAGCAGCTCTACAGTTTATCTACTTCTCCTTATGTTTTTTTGGGATCCATTCTGAGATGGAGCATTCTATGTTTGTTTTTGTCATCTCAAGAATAGGTTCAGGGTCTGTACAGGGTGTCCTTTTTAGATGGCCCAGCTGAATTTCTCTTGAACCAATGACGCTGTAAAAAAACGCTTAATATTTTCAATCTAGTTTCAAATTTTTACTATATTTTTGGAAAAAATTATACAGAATACCTCACGCCCAGTTCAACTTCAAAATTTTAAGTACGACCCTATACATCCTGACATCATTTTAAAGGATTTTTTACCCGGAAAACAATGATGCAATCGGATTTTAAATTGGTCAAAAAATGACAAAGTTATGGCAAAACGTTTGAAAAATCGAATTTCGTTTTTTCGTTGTTAATTCCAATAATTTGCTTCTTCACTAAAGCAGACATTAATTGCCTTTATTGTTTGCATTCTGTTATTGTTTGTGAAACTCGCATTATGTGAGAAAATTTTAATTCCTGGAAGTAAATAACTCTTACAATAGTATATATCCGTTATATTCACTATTCCATTCAAACCGAAGAGCACATTTTTCCGATCAACAGCGAGTTGACACGTACGACTTTATTGACAGTGGTCTTATGGGCGACGTGCAGTCGAGTTGTACTCCCAGAAATTTCCTCATCGCCCCAGAGTAAACGATACAAGTTTATTAGTGTTGCCTGCAATATGAGGAGATACGGATCAGTCGCTGTTCCATCACCAAGAAATCGGCAGCGTAATTTCGACGAGGAGCTGAATATTTTACTGTATGTTCGCGAAAATCCGAATTATCGGATTAGTATCGCTCTCATCTTGTCCAGTGATTTCGGGACTCTGATTATGACAGGCGTCTAACGTTCCTTGCACAAATGTCGATTTGGGAGGCTGAAGAAAATGTTCTTCCATACATCCTATGGACTGATGAAGCCAAGTTCACCTTAGCATACAAAACCGTTGGAATTTTTGAACGCGGGCAGAGGAAAATCCGAGCATTTCGTACTCTTGTCATCATCAGAGGTTCACAGATCAACGTTTGGTGTGGACGTCAAGGAAATAAATTAATTGGGCCTTATTTCAACGAAAATAATTTAAATGGTTCTCAGTTCTTCAATTTTTTGAGGGAGGTTTTATCAACACTATTAGATGATGTTCCTGTGCAACAAGGACAAAAAAATGTTTCTCCAGCTTGATGGATGCCCTGCACACAATTCTTTCCAGGTGAGACGTTATTTGAATCTTCACTTTCGTTATAGGTTGATAGGACCTCATGGTCCGATCTGTTGGACTCCTCGGTCATCCGATTTAACTCTACTTGACTATTTTCTGTGGGGCCATTGAAAAACATTGTCTACGCCAATTATAACCCAGCAGCCTCAGTTGAAGAACAGCGGCAAAGGATAGAAAATGCTTGTCAATCCATCACCCCTGATTCTATCGCTTGTGCACCGGTGGTTAAAAAGAGCAAATTTGCATTTTTACGCAAGGCAGGCAGTTCGAACATGAAATGTTATTACTACATAAATAGCAACCAAATGACTGTTTTTTTTTACTTTTTGCCCGAACTTAGTCATTTTTTGACCAATTTAAAATTCGATTTCACCATTGTTTTCAGCATACAGAAATGCCTTTAAAATGATGTGTCAGATCTGTAGGGTCGTATTTGAAATTTTGAAGTTGAACTAGGCCAGAGGTACCCTGTATAATTTTTCGTCAAAAAAAGATAAAAAATTTGAAACTAGACTCAAAAATATTAAACAAATTTTTTGCTGTTTTGATAGCGTCATTGGTTCAAAAGAGCTTCAACCGGGGCATCTAAAAAGGACACCCCTTCTCTGGCTAGTGTGTCTGTTTTTTCATTACCCAAAATTCTTTCATGTCCTGGTTCCCCAGGTTTTGGAGATTTTGGATGCATTCACTGGTTATCATCAGTTTTGTTGTGATTTTTTTTTACATGCCAATGCTTTAATAGCTGCGAGGCTATCCGATTTAGGAGGATTGTTTTGCCAGAGTAAACTCTTTTTTGATTTTCTTAGGCACATGCATTGATGGCATGTATTTCTGCCTGAAAGAGCGAAGTGTAATTCCTTAATGAGTTTGATTGCTCATGTTTTGGGCTTGAACAAAAAAACAACGACAGATCCGGTTCCTTCATGTGTTGTGGAGACATCTGTATACCATATCATTGTATCTAATGTTCTCTTGAATTCTTCATCTCTTTTGTAGACTTTTAGACATGAGACTGAGATGTAAATAAATAGTCTCCATTTTTAAGAAAAGGTGTCTGATTTTATTGATTATTGTTGTGTGCCCGAAGTGTTTAGTTCCTATCCAATTTCATTGCTCTGGAACCTAGATAAGCTTTTCCTTGCTTCTCCTTGTAAAATGTTTCCAATGGAGGTAGGTTTAGCAGAGTTTCTAATGTAACAAACACATTCTTTCTTTTTCTGTCCGTAGCATTTATTAATTGTGGTTAGGTTAAGATGGTATGAGATGGCTTCAAAGCTTGTCGCACTGCGTCCATCAAAATTGGATGTTTGTGCTTCACCACGTCTAGAACTCATGAAAATACAGAGACTCGTACGCGTTTGTATAACTGGAGCGATGAGAAAATGTCCCACAGGTGATATGGAGAAAATATTCGGATTAATCCCCTCCACCAAATGATAATGATGACAGCACAGAAAATTATTATTAACATGATTAAAGAAAATCCTCCAACGGGGCTAAAACTAAAATGGGTACAAATAACAGCCTAAGGAAGAAACATCCGATACTCAAGACCTTAGGTTAGGTTAAGTTCGTATATAGTGACAACAAAGTCTATCGCAGTGCGTTCATCAAAATGGGACTTTCCTCTATGTATTAGTTATAGCTCACACCTTTAGGCTCTTTTATTAAGAAGAGGAAATGTAAATCTACGCACGTCTCCGATGGTATCAAAGCAAAGGTGCCGGCCGGTCAAATAGTCATAAGTGTAAACATACTAAAAGTTATTAAATTTTTGTTCTTTTCCATTTTTGTCTTGCTTTTGTACTGTCATGGCAAAACTTTTCACTCCCTACTTGTAAATATTATAACGACTTTTATAATTTTTTAAAGCAATTTAGTAGGTAGGGTTTTATTAAATAATTTAAAATTGACTTACTCAAACCGATCACAATGAAAATGACGACAAATACAGGAAGAGCGTACACCTTCATCTTCCAGCTCCTGCCTTGAACTTGTCGCCCAACTGGTTCCAAACCTATATACCAAACCGTATTTAAGTGGGGATAAAATATGCGAGCAACTATCTAAAGTAGTACAGAACCCATATCTCCGAAATACATTCCTACAAATACTAATGGCTCTTATTAAATTTAATTAACCGCTTATAAAAATAGCGTTGGCCGACATGTTCTCCGTATCTCGAGACTTGATCGCCTTGCAATCTTTGTCTTTTAATTAAAATTGAAAATGCAAATTGAATCTGTATCGGTTCTTTTGTTATTTTTCCGACGAAGGGTTTTACATATATTTTAACACAAAAAAGAAATTATCTTACAAAGCCGCGTAAATGTATAAAAATTCTGCCTCCTCTTTTTAATCAATATAAACTTTATTGTGCAATAATACTGTAATATATGTACGAATAGTATATGACGATGAAATGTTGTAGTATATGTTGATGAAACTAGGAAGTGGGGTTTATCTCCCCAAGCACTGCAGCCTTCTGGCTTATTGTACCTTCCTAGGTCCCTAGTTCAGCGCAATCGACTCAATCCTTCTTTTCAGAAGTATTAGGACATTGACTGTTGCTGCTACAATTTCATTCCCTACGTTTTTCCTGCATGCTCTCCATTGAGATAACATCTCTATTAGTTTGTTATTTTTTTACACGCTACTGCTTTATTTAACCTCTAACCACCTCTTTTAAGATTATAGATTTAAGATGTTTTGGGCTTGTGCAAAAACACCCTTCGTTTGTTTTGAAGACATCTGTATAACATATCATTGTATCTGATGCTCTCCTGGGTTCTTCCTCTCCTTTGTCTGTCGAGACTTTATAGGATGTTGTAAAGAATGTTTCGAGATCATATAGTAAGTCCCCATTTCTAAGAATGGTTGTCTGATTTTATTAATTATGGTTGTGTGCCCGAATTGTTTAGTTCCTGTCCAATTTGATTGTTTTTGGCACCTAAATGAGCTTTTTCTAGCCTCTCCTTGTATAAATGTTTGAGGTGGAGGTCTCCGTTCTGAACACCATTGTTCCACCATGTTTAGTGCTCTTTGGGTGAGTTCTTTTCATGTTGTGTCGAATTTTCCCCTGACTAATATGGCTCATCTGCATAGCTTTGGGTATACATTCCACTTTTATTTAGTTTGCATATGAGGTCATCCTCTACCACATTCCACAGCAGAGGCGAGAGTATTCCTTCCTTGCGGACATCCTCTCGCTACCACTGGTTTTACTTTTTCGTGGAACATGGAGGCCTGCACTTTTTTGCTTTTTAGCATTGATTCTATCCATCTGCAACAGGTTTTATCAATTCCTCGCTGTTTGAGTGATGTAATCATTGCTTCGAAAGGAGTGTTATCCATGAAGGTCCCTATTGCGACTTCTTGTTGTTCAGTGAATCCCCTATTTGTATCGTTATTTGGTGTAGTGCTGATTCACAGGATTATCCTTTTTGATAGGCATGTTGTTATTTATGAAGGGATTTTTCTTTTAGAGAGCTGCCCATTGCATATTTTTCAACTAGGTTAGATTAGTGTTATTTTCCCATTTTGTAAGAGTACTGGGTATATCCCGTCTGTTCATGGAGATTTGAATGAGCAAAAATGTCAATAGCCCATTCAATTTTATTATAGGTGATTACTGTTTTGGCTAGTCGCCAATTTTCCCTGCTGGCTTTGTGGCCTTTGACGGATTCAGTAGTGTTCCTTATTCCAGGTTAGTAATAATTGTTGATTCCGGAAAGGGTGTACTTTTTAGCATTTCCTTTCCGGTTTGTGTGTGTTTCCCATCTTTTTTCCTTTTTTCTTCCCAGTTTTTTAGAGTTCCGATAGGGTTTATAGGATCTTTTGCAAGGATTTTGTCGAATCTACTTGCTTCAGTGATGTTTCCAACTTCTTTGCAATATTTCCTCATTGATTCTTGTTTTGCATTTTTTATCTGCTTATTGTATTCTGTTAAGGTTTTACTGTATTCTTCAATACTCCCCGTTTTCGCCTCACTCTATTCCAAAGTATGCGAGTTTTCTTTTTTAGTGCCGCCAGTTTGTCGTTCTGCCAGCAGATACTCTCTTTGTCGGTGCAGGTGGTTGTCAGCAGGTTTCATGATGTGTGTTTATTGCAGCTTCTTGTATTTGGGTAGAAGTTTGCTCAATATCGTGGGCACTTTTGATGTTAGCCATTGCAGTTTGTGTATTTTCCCCCAGTAACTCGCTGTATTTCTCCCAGTTTGAGATCAAGCCACGACTTCAACAAGTTGGAAATTTAAATGTCAGTTTGCGCACTGTAAGGCGAAGACTTTCATAAGCTGGATTACGTACGAAAAGGCCTGCCACTGATCCAAAACTTCTGACAAGGCACAGAACAGCGCGGTTAAGTTTCGCAAGAAATCTCATCAATTGATCAGAGCAAGATTGGACTGAAATCTTGTTTTCGGATGAGTAAAGGTTTTGTTTGAGGACTTATGACGACCGAGAGAATGTTTAGAGAAAAACAGGAGAGCGATATATCTCAGTCATCTTTCTCAGCAGGCAAAGTAAAGCCTCCTCAGCATCCTTCAAAGTAAAGTTGCTAAAAGACAAATTAAAGAAGGACAATTGCATAACATACAAGACGTAGAAGGAATAGAACTAGAGTGGCTGATGAATCCTATGGCAAAGCAGATGAATATGGTTCAGGCTATATAGATTAACTTTTTTGGACATACTGACTAGGTTTTTGTTATCAATTAGTGTTTTATTTTCATCGTACGTGTTGCAAATGATTATAGATTTAGACTGCTTCTGAGATTTGAACCGTGTCAATTATCCGGTCGGCCCTGTGACAAATCCAGCGAGGATAGGTAGATCAAAATTTTCGTAAACGACCATCTTACATCATGTTCATTACCCAAAAGAAGACGTTCACTCCCACTGGCTAATATTGTTGTACATTTATCATTTATGTTCAATTAACTATCTTATAAATTACAAAGTCGTGATCGATCTATGTTTAGTACTTCAGTGTTCTTTTAACTAAAAGATGTTAACTAATCTTTTTTGCTTATTGTGTAATTTGTTTTTTATTCATAGAGTTTTATGAGAGAACAATAAAGTTCTCTTCCAAAAATTAATCCGTTAAAGGGTATGGCGGCTTTGGTCAGCTAGATAACTCGAAGCACTCTGGGCAGTTTATTTTAGTGAAATCGCGGCCAAGACTGTTGACGGGAAGATGATAGTTTAACAGATCTGTTTATTGACATTTTGCTTGTTTTATCCACATATATATCATGATAGAAGTAGTTATATGGCATATATATCACGAATATATTGTGCGATGGTGTAAAATCAATTTGGGCGACAGAAAAGGTCAAAATAAATCCGCTAAATTGACTTACAAATCTACATTCGGTGAGAACGAGCTCGAGATTCGGTTTTGGGTAACAGATAGCGCCAGCAGTTGATCTACTCTGCCTGTCCATTTTTCTATTCCTGCATTTTGCTCTACTCTTGAAAAACTTAAAAAATCAAACATTTTTATCATTTTTCTATTTTTATCATAAATATAATTTTTATAAGATTGAAGTATGAAATTGAACGAATTGAAGCAACGTCAGGAATTTTTTGGTTGTTTATTGTATTACTTCTGTAAATGTGCAGCGTTTTGAAACAGGAAGCTAAGCATCTCTGAACATTCTTTGCACTTGTTCCATATGGAACTGTCGACATAACCTCCGGGTGTTAGCATTGCGCTAATACATCCATTTTTCCTCCCAGGTGACGATTATTTCATCCAATCCATCATTTGTGCAAGATAAACCGGCATGTTTCCATGCGGGACTCAACTTCCGAACTCCGGTCTCAAGTGATTTCTCACCGATCAACTGAACTGAGAACTCTGAAAGCAGAACTGCATTGATGTTTTAAGAAGAACCATCAACTACTACTGGCATATCCCGTGTCACATCTGCTTTGCCAAAGGATTCACCACTCTCTCTAGCTCTCTTCCTGCTACGTCTTGTATGGTATGCAATTGTTCCTTCTTAATTGTCTTTTAGCAATTTTACTTTGAAGGATGTCTATTGATTGAGCATAGGCGTTAATTTAGGGGGCGTGGTTCGAGATTATCTATATCCTTTGGTGCATTTAGTAAAGATATACTCTGACTTTGTTCCAATATAATTTTGCTTTTGATGTCCAGTGCTTAAGTCCCTTTGGTAGATTTTGTGGAACCACTATGATAAAAACCGCACTTTTTCCCACAAAACTAACCACTTTTCTCGGTGCCTCTTTGAGTACTTCTGTTGATGCTGTAGGTGGTAGTTTAGAGGGCAGTGTACGGAAGCCTATAGTTTTCCCCAAATATTTTCTGCTGAGAGAGAGAACCTTGTCCAGTCGTTGTGTTTTTCTTTCTCAGGCAATTTTTCCAGCTTCAATATTAGCACACTGCGGTGCGCCTAATTGTAGTTCCATCGGTGAGAGGGCTGTGCATTCCTTGTTTAATAGGTGGTAAGTCTGCTCCTTTTACTCCTACAGCCCTGTTCCATTTTTAATATATCAGTGTACCATATCATGGCCTCTCTGGAAATTTGAGGTCGAATTTCTTCCAAGATCTCTTTTATTTACGTTCAATTGAAAGAATTAGTCAAAATTGAGTTTTCCTCTCTCATATTGTCAGGTACCTTAATAGCCATCTCATTTATTTTTATTATCCATAGAATTTTGTGATATCTTCAACTTAGATCTGGTTTTATTTCCTATGTTGTCATCTCAGGGGTTTACACTCGCAAAAGCTACGTTTTGTGCATGTGTAAAGGTGGAAGATCGAGATGGGACAAGCACACATCCTATAAGACACACCAGTGTTTGTAGACGTTTCAGTTTCTTTTTTGTCTATTTATGCAGTATTTTTGGCCACCCTATATGACCGTTGTAATGTATAACCATACGTTCCTGGGGATTATTTCCTCTGTTTTCGTAGCATAATGCCAATGGTTAATAGCTGGGCCTTATAGAGTATAATGTCTATATGCCTTGAGCCTTTTCTAAATACTTAGTTTGTTTGGAGAAAGTTAAAGCGTCATCTTTTATAATGCTTTTAGGTTTATCTGGTTTAGGTCATCTGCGTAACCTACGGTATGGTATCCTATGTTGTTAATCTTTGTGATTAGATCATCTGCTACATTTTCCCTCACCATATTAAGTCGTAAAGATTTGTTCCTTTAGCATCTAAATTGTCGCTATTTATGCCGATTTCTTCTAATCGATATCCTGTTTGATTTTCGTTTCTTTAATGAAGAAAGATTTTTTCGCAGTGGACTGATATCAAGAGCTGTTTTCCCAGGTATCATAACCTCTCCCCAACTATTGCACGGCAGTTGCATAGAATATGTTCTCTCGTCTCTGTCACTTCTAGACATAATCGACGTGGTTGTTCATTTGTTGATAGTCTCATTTTTTCCCAGTTAGAGTTTTTAATTTCTTTCAGTTGTTTGTGCTAGTAGTCCTTTTCCTTACATTAAGCTCCCTTTCAGGGTTCTTGAGAAAGACGATGAGGTTCTTTTTCGTCCGCACCTAGCACATGGCCTTATGAGACGTTCGTTTCTCAAGATGGGAGACGACGCATCTCTGCTCGCGGGCGGTTAGTGCTATGCCCACGGGCTCGGTGTAGAAAACCGTCCAGGCCCCTAAGGACCCAAACCGCCTTCTTCCCAACTTGTCCCGTCCAGGGGGTGGGTCAGACAAATAATGAACCTGACCGTGTGCCGCACAGCAAGTGGTTCAAAGGGCCGACATGAATTCTCCCGAACCTCTCGCCGTACTCCCGTAGATAGAGAAGGCAACTCTATCTCTCCCGAGTGGAGGGGCCCCCCTAGCATAGGGACTTCCGGATACGTTCCGACGACGGCTTTGGTTTTAAGTGGAAATGCCAACCACCCCCAGAGGAGTGCAGCTATCCGGTATGTGTGCTCTGATTGCCAGAACAACCGGGACAGCTCTCTCGCTCCGAGTACCCGCCAGGGGTCTCACCACGTACCACTACGAATCCAAACCGCAATTGCAAGCGTTTGGGCCTGGTAGACGCTTGCACCCGTTGTTCAGTTGATCCGGCTCCATCCCCCGAGGGATCCGGTTTACCAGTCCTCATGTGTGACTGGCCGCACACCCGCCGTTATGACTGCCTTGCAAGGTCGGCTGACCGTACACGACATCACTCGACTTGTGCTTCAGAGTATTTGCCATGCACTCTAGGCTACATCATTATTTTTCGCCTGGAAAGCCCCCTTGCAGCCAAGGGTTGGGAAGGGAATACTGGATTGAGTATGACTCCTGAAAAGACATTTTATTTGTCATTGACTGATTGCAAAGCTTTGGGCGATGGGATCGTCAACCCCCGTCTGGTTTTTCCCAGTATTTATTGTGTTCTTTAGTTAGCCAAAATTCCAGTCCTTCTTTTATAATTTGGATATAGGTTATGCCAAAAAATGGAATTTAGCTTATGTAATGTTCCGGCTCCGTTTTTATGTAGGGGCTGCCTGAAATTCCCTCATTACCTTGATGCAAACCTCAGCTTGCACGTTTTTTTAACAGTTCCAGACTAGTTTTAGATGGCCTATATGGTTAGCTTCAAACTCACAGGGGAAAAGTCCAGACCGTCCAGTACCAACTGGACACCAACCTCAACCTCGACGCAGTTAAGACCTGCCAGAAATACTCATTCAGGCAACTTGCAGTACATAATTTTCTCCTATTCTAAGCTCAAAAGGAAAAAGAGTGACTTGCTAGACACTGGGACGACACTCAAACACCAACAACAGCAAGGAGGACTGACAGAAATAATGGGGGAAAAAGGGAAACTGGACGAAAAATTGTCCTCTCGCTCTCAGTTAAAGCTTCCAATTTGAATTAAAATGAAGTTACAGGTAAACTGTCTTATCTTTGGTACTAAGTTCACCGAAGTGCTAAAGTGTCGTCACTCATCCGGCTCGCCCACCACTGCTGTCTAGCCAGTGACGAGACGACTCGTCCCCTTTCACCTAGATTTGACGTCTGTCAAAATCCGTGACCCCGAAAATATTTGTTTCTTGGTTCTTGTTCTTACTCAGTTTCCTTCCCTCGTCCGCGGTTCACTTTATTTTCATTTGTGTTTTTCGCGTGTGCTACGAGATCAGATTGTTTGAGCCCGCTTCCTTTTTATTTCAAATTATTCATCCACTGAGCCCTTCCTCCTCGTTGACTTCTCTCGCCTTCCGGCTAGTTTTCACATTTGGAGCGTTTATTTTGTTTTTATTTCAGCTGCCAGCTACCTGTTAACATTCATGAAATCCGCCCTCTGAGCATTAATGTTCACGGTCCAAACAGGAAATCGTTTTATTATTAAGTAAGTAAGAGTAATCACCTCAAATATTAGTGTATCCGTGTGCGAGTACTCTGTCCTAGTTAAAAGATTCGCCTTGAATAACAATTATTTGCCGGATGACAACAGACAACTATTTGAGACAATACTAAACAAGTGTGCCAGGCCGGTTTGTAATAAATAGGACGTCACATGTCAGATATTCCGTTTGTTGTTAAAGAAAATCTATACACAAAATACACTTGTCACCTTAGTTGTAACGAACAGGAGTTTCAACTTGACAGTCGCAAGATACAACGAGTGTCATTATTTGTATATTACGAGTCACAAAATTCTCAATTAACGTTGGTAAAAAAAATCGGAATATTTCTTTTGTTGTTAGCCACAATTTGATATTTGTTAAAATAATAAACTAAGGCCAAAGAAAACGCTTGTCAGTCATAAGACAACATTTATCAAATTTGACATTCGTTGTCAGCCATAAATTAGCACTTTTCAAAGAAAGAAAACACTTGTCAGTCATAAGACACTATATATCAAATTTGATATGCTGTCAGCCATAATTTGACACTTGACACGATTGCGTTGTCAAAAGAAAACGCTTGTCAGTAACAAGATGATTTTATCGAATTTGTTATTTGTTATCATTCATAAGTTACCAATTGTCCCAAATTGGATGTTTTTCATTGGTCAAAAAAAAGAAGACAGATTTTTCATTTGCTCTCAGCCACAATTGAACCCTTTTCAAAGAGGTACTAAGTCACAAGGTACCACATATCAAATTTTCATGTTATCAATCTCAAGATACTATTTATCAAATTTGATATAGCTGTCAGCCATAAATTGACACTTGTCAAAGTTACATTAAGTCAAAAGAAAACACTTTTCAGTTTAGCGATCGGCCATAATTTGAGACTTGTCAAAGTTAAATTAAGTCAAAAGAAAACACTTGTCAATCACAAGATGATATTAATTAAATTTGATATTTGGTGTCATTCATAAGATACCTATTGTCCCAACTTTGATGTTTTTCATAGTTTAAAAAAAAAAGCACAGATTTTTCATTTGCTCTCTGCCACAATTGAACACTTTTCAAAGAGGTACTAAGTCACAAGATACCACATATCAAATTTTCGTGTTGTCAGTCTAAAGATACATATCAGATTTGTTGTCAATCTGAAGATGTTATATTTCATTTAATACAAATTATTGAAATTTATCAACACTTTTTTATGGTCACAGGACTAATTTTTTTTTTCTTTTATGTTTAAAAGATTTCAACAATTAATATGAATTCTCGAGAAATCACGTTCATATTCCAATTTGGCCTTATACGAGACACTGTTACTGTCGATACATCGAATTTAACTCTGAAAGTTCTCAAGGAACATGCCTGTGAATTTATCAATGCAAAGGTAAGTTTGGTTGTTTTTAAATATTTTTAATAGCACGCATTTTATTTTGAATTAGACATTGGTATGGAGGAATGTAATTAATTAATGTAAAAACTAATTGAGTGTCATATTCCAGTGTCCCGAACACGGTGTTAACAGACTTAATGAAAGGATCCTTTTATTCAGACATGACTATTCGATCCCAAATATTTTACAAATTATCAACTGTGCTTCCGATGTAATTGATGAAACTCTTGTTGAAATTGTGCTTACAGGTATACATTTTATTTATTTGTAATTAATCATTTAAACAGATGAATAAAAATTTATTTATTTGCAGCTCAATGTTTAGTGGAGGAACAGCCAATTAGACCACATGCTCTTACTGTTCATTCTTATAAAACACCGACATTTTGTGACTTCTGCGGTGAAATGTTGTTTGGCTTGGTTCGCCAGGGGCTCAAATGCGAAGGTAAATCTTATATAAATTAATATCAACATGAACATATATATTTTTTTTTTCAGGTTGTGGGCTGAATTTCCATAAAAGATGTGTCGTACGAATACCGAATAATTGTTCAAGAAGTTGTATTGAGTCAAGAAATAGGACCTCTTCAACATTACATGTTCCTCGCAGTGCTTCTGAGACAGGTTCCACTTCTTCCTTGTCATCAGCAGCAGATGATTCATTTATGGTGATTACATTTTTTTCTCACACAACTAAGAAATAAAAATAAAGATTTACATTAAAATATTAAGTATCTGTAATTTAGCGAACTGCAAAAAATCATAGAAATTAGATTCATATGCATTTATTACAAAATGGTCTAGATCTAAACATTTATATTAGTGACATAAGTTAGGCTATAACTCTAAGTCTAGAGGTAAGCCTATTCACAGTATGCACTGACCCAAGACAACGCACGCCAAGAACAGTCTCATTTTTCAGCCTCTTGCTGCCTTTACTGGTCCCTCCTTTCCTCTTGTTTTTGTACTCTCATCGTCTTGGGGCTCTCTTTCTCAGTCAACTCTCCTAGCCTCAGGACTATTCTCTTCAATAAACTCTTCTCATCAGTCACTCTCCTGGCCTTGGGACACTCCTGGTCTCAGGGCTCTCCTCTTGAATTGACTCTCCTGGCCTAGGCATTCCTCTCCTAGGCAACATTCATGGGCTCAGTATTCCACTTGTCAGTCGTCTCTTCTGGCCTCAGCATTTCTCTCATCTGTCAACTCTCCTGATTTCAGCATTCCTTTCGTCATTCGTCTCTCCTGAGCTCGGTATTCCTCTCATCAGTCTACTCTCCTGGCCTTGGCATTTCACTCTCGTAGCCTTGGTATTCCTCTCGTCAGTCGACTCTCCTGGCGTCAATATTCCTCTCTTCAGTTGAATCCCAGTTCTTGGACTCTCCTCATCTGTCGACTACATGACTTGCCTCTGTACTCTGGCATTGACTGATTTGATCTTCTTCCATTTAATATTGGTCTCCCAAACAAGGCAAAACACTCGTCCAGTTAAAGCAATCTTAAATTATGGTGACCCTAGTTTGATGGAGTCCTGGTTTTATGTTTCTAGGCCCTCCATGTTTTTGGCAAGTTCCTTTTTTCCTACTGGGTTGGCAATTCATCAGATTTACAGCCCAGCCAAGCATTATAATTTTTAAAAATCCCTATAAATTATTGTGTTATTTTATCAACTGTCACACTGTGTGAGACAATCCCCTTAATGTTGTTTTGTTTACTCACATTGGGATTTAAGCCAGTGAGAGAAAGACCTCCGCCCGAGTAAGACACTCCGTTTAATAATTGGTCCTGTGAGTAAAACAAAATACTATTTCTTCAACTGTCATTAAATTTTAATTTCAAATTTATCTTAAGATTGAAAAAGGAAAAACCAGTGGGTTAAATTGTTTAAGTTTCACTTTTATTTTGTAATATTTAAACTATTAAAATAATTTTCTAAAGATATAAAATTTTAATTTTGTGTATTTCATTTCTTTTAATTCTAACATTTCAAAATTTTATCCATTATAACAAATAAAGATCAATTTTATTGTTAAAGGTAAAATCAATAAAAAAAGGTATCTGGCAAATTTCAAAAAATTATAGTCAGACCGATCGAGGGGTTTCCTCTGGGACCTAGACAAAGTCCCATCCCTTCCTTAAAAACAATTACTAGTTAATTGTGACAATATATGAACCATGCTCTGCTACCATATATTGTTACAATTAACTAGTAATTGTGACAATATATATTTTTTTTATATTCAACATCAATGATTATAATTTTAAAATTTTAGTATTACAGAACATAGAGATGAAAATGAAATTCTTGCAATAAATGTGTATCCTCTGTGTGCTGTAAACTTTAAAAATTTACTCGCCAAAATTTTTACGTTTTTAAACCCTACACTGAGCATCCATCCGCATTTGATAAAAGTGTTTTCCATAATGGGTGAACCTTCATTTCTGGTACCTAGACCTTGCGCCAACAAGGTTTTGAAGAATTTCATGGATAAGAAGGTTTTTGGAAGATTAGAATTTTCTACAGGGAGCGATGAAGCTACTATCAAAGAGGTGGTAGATGATAAAATAAAAGTTTACCTCCGGATAAAACCTTGTAATATAATGTCCATCACTGATGAAATTAACAATAAGAATTACGAGATTCTTGGAAAATTTGTACAAACAAAAATTTTCCTCAACAGAGAGGAATTAATTTATAAATATAGATTCACTGATATCTTCCTTCTCACTCCCACCCAGTGTAATTTTTGAAAAAACCTTTTAAAAAAATTTAAAAAGTTTTTTGAACGGTGAAAACAATATGATCTTTGCGTATGGGACCACAACATCTGGAAAGACATACACTGTACAAGGCACACCTTTACAGCCTGGTCTTATTCCGAGATGCCTTTATACAGTTTTTGCAAGTATTTGTGGTAAGGAAGACTTTTCTGGTCGGTGCTACCCTGAAACAGCTTCTAGGTTCATAGTTCTATATGAAAAGCAAGTTAATGCCAACAAGTTGTACAAAAAAGAAATACTGAAATTTGCGCCTAAACAAGTGAAACAAAAAAAATTCTAAATCAAACAATTAGTACTACCGACCATACTGCAATGGAAACAAATTTTGAACGGTTAAAAAAGGTCAGCATTCAGTCAGACAATAACCTTGTTTATTCCATCTGGATAGGGTTCATTGAAATTTACAATGAAAATCTTTATGATCTATTGGTTAACGCTCATGAGCAGCGACCATTGTTGTTAGTTGAGGACAAAGACAAAACCAGGTTTATTCAACTGTAACACATATAAAAACAAACACAAACTAACTGAATGTCACTCTAATAAAAAATGAACACAAAACTTTTTTTTTCGTTCTTTTAGTACTAACCATTTAAGCCAATTAACTTTCATTTANGTTAATTTCATCAGTGATGGACATTATATTACAAGGTTTTATCCGGAGGTAAACTTTTATTTTATCATCTACCACCTCTTTGATAGTAGCTTCATTGCTCCCTGTAGAAAATTCTAATCTTCCAAAAACCTTTTTATCCATGAAATTCTTCAAAACCTTGTTGGTGCAAGGTACCAGAAATGAAGGTTCACCCATTTTGGAAAATACTTTTATCAAATGCAGATGCCCAGTGTAGGGTTTAAAAAACAATTTTCTACAATAAGGAAATTAATTCTTATTACCAACAAATTTAAAAAAAATGGTCATGCTTCAATTTTACTACTGGTTGAAGGAAGGTGAGAATGTAATAATACTACGTAGTACCATTGCAAATATGTTTGGGTTACTCTATGTAACTTTGACGATTGGCTCAAAATCATTTTAAAAAAATTTAAAACAAAGAAAAATAGAGAGCCGATGTGTGTTTAAAAAAGTTATTTGTGGCTTAAAGGTAAAAGGGCTAGGTTTAAGTTGTTCTTTTCATTTTCATATTTTCATCCTTTGCCTTAAAAAATCCGTAAATCTTAAATACAAAAAAAAAAACTTATCACTAGGAGCTTAATGTTTAGGACGCGATGTACGAGTTAGAAATTGGAAAATCTTATCTCATATCCTCCCATTAGCACTTTAGGCATAGAGGAAAAGGAAAAAATATTCATGTGTACAAAGAAAAACGTTTTTACTAATTCCCTAATTTTGTGATCCGCTTGACCAATTAATATTTGACAATTAATTAAGGTTTTTAGTTGAGATAAAAANCAGGACCAATTATTAAACGGAGCATCTTACTCGGGCAGAGGTCTTTCTCTCACTGGCTCAAATCCCAAAGTGAGTAAACAAAACAACATTAAGGGGATTGTCTTACACAGTGTGACACAAATACTACTTTATTATTTACTTTAATTTATTTACTGTAAATTATATTAAGTCATAAGCTAATTTGGTCAACGTAAGTGCTTGGGTTAGTCAGCTGTTGGAATTTACAATTTTCTATAATAAAATTAGTTGAGGTGAAGCAATTCTATAATAGACATTGTATACATTCAGAAAATCTAAAATACAATTGATGAAAATACAATTATGAATAGAATCTTTGTTCAAAAGATAATGTAATGTTGCTCTCAATACTAATGTGTTTTTGTAACAACACTTTCATGGCCTGTTTAATATACAATGGTTCCAATATTGATAAATGAAAGTTAATTGGCTTAAATGGTTAGTACTAAAAGAACGAAAAAAAAAGTTTTGTGTTCATTTTTTATTAGAGTGACATTCAGTTAGTTTGTGTTTTTTTTTTGTTTTTGTTACAGTCGAATAAACCTGGCTCTGGAAAAACGAGCCGATCCCCGTCTCTTAATTCTAGAAGCACTTGGAACGACAAAGAAAATAACGCGCAAATTAAAATCCCTCACACATTTGTACTGCACAGTTACACGAGGCCGACTATTTGCCAAATTTGCAAAAAATTACTCAAAGGACTGTTCAAACAAGGAGTACAATGTAAAGATTGCCACATAAATGTTCACAAAAAATGTACTGATAAAGTTGCCAAAGATTGTACTGGTGAGAATAATCAACAAGGTAAATAAGTTTGACTAATAATTTTTTTAAATTACTAACAAATCTCATTTAAACAAATACCTGAAGAATAAAATTTCCTGTAACATCCAAAATCCTGTCCAATTTTCCAATTTGGTATCGTTGTCATCACAAAATTCATTTTTCAGCATTTATTTTAACATTTTAGGAAACAATTTCATATTAAAAGCCATAAAATGGATTTTAAAATGATAGAAATTAAAACAAATCATACGTTTTACACTTTACATTCTCTACTAACAATATTTCTAAACATTTCAGGCGGTGATTATTCAGATAGTGGAATTATTTCTGACAGTGGAAGGGATGTTACTGATGAAGATAGCGATAATGAAAGAAAGTCACCCCTTTCAGAGTTAATCACTGTCGAAATCGGTGATCACAATGTAAGTTCAGCGTTTTTTCTAACAGACCATAATATTTCCTTGTGTAAATTTTATTATCTAGGAAAACCCAGCTTTCCGAGATCAAATCGATGGAAATCAACAATCTTCATCTAGCAATAATATCCCTCTAATGAGAATCGTTCAGTCAATTAAGCACACCAAGCGCCGAGGTTCAAAAGTAATTAAAGAAGGCTGGTTGGTCCATTCTACAAACAAAGACTCTGGTGTAAGTTTCTTAATGACACTCCATTGTTTTTATATTTTTGAACATATTTTTAATAAGTATGGATTTTAAGAAAAAACGACACTATTGGAGACTGGATTCAAAGTCAATTACTTTGTTTCAAAGCGATACTGGATCTAAGTATTATAAGGAGATTCCTCTTGTTGAAATATTAGCGATAAGTCCTGCTAAAAAGTGTGGTGGTGAGTTTTATTCAACTCATACTGTTTTTAACACGTTCAGTACGGCTGACCTTCACGGGAGCCAAAGTATGTGTGTATGTATGTATTATTTATGGGCTACAAACATCAAATGGTCATCACCTCTGCGCTTTAAATGAAAAAAATAAATAAATAATACATACAATAATAATAAATAATAAAAAAATATAAATAATAATGAAATAATACATAAAAAAATTTATGTAAAAAAGTCTGGTTTTAGATTAAAATCACAAAAATATTATCTTATGAAAGAGTCAAGATAGAAACCGTGTCCTGGTGACACTGAACTATGTTTAATTTAGTGAATCCACCATGGCAGTATTGATAGTTAACCCTGAAATACCCTGTGTACAGTTAAAACTTCTTATAGCCCTGAAGTACTCAAACAACGATCCATGCATGCTGCCGTAAGGCCACATATAGGTCAGGAGGGACTCTATAGCTCATCCTGCAGGCTTGTAGTTTTCTGCATAGTAAAATATGCTCAACGCTTAGTTTCCAGTGCATAGTGTGCGCTGACGCAGTCTCTTTTATGCCAGCAATTGCCCATATGTAAGCCCAGTATAACCTGGTAAGTATAACCCTTTCTCTTTTCAACAACTTGGTCTCAGGAACCTGAAACCAATGTCAGTCTTTATCTGCTGAAATTTGGCAGAAACCAAAGTATCTGAAATTCCAGCCTGTATTGAACGTGTTAAATTTAATTGTGAAATATTGTTTAATTAAATGTTTATTTTTTGTTATTAACTATACCTTTATAATTTCAGATCTTTTGCCAGATCCTAAACATTGTTTCGAAATTAAAACATCACAGGTCGACTATTATGTTGGTGAAGAGATGAATTACAGTTCTAATGGAGACTGTGGATCTCATATGGCAAAATCATGGGAAACTGCAATTAGACATGCTTTAATGCCAGTTACTCCACCACCCTCAAGTATATAATTAAGCTATTATATATTTGTATTCAATTAAATAAAAAATTAATTTGTTTTAAGCATCAGAAAATGAGTCTGAAGATCGTATTACAGACATGACTCAGCTTTATCAGATATTCCCTGATGAGGTGTTAGGCTCTGGACAGTTTGGCATAGTCTATGGCGGTGAGTAGTTTTATCTAGTGATATATATTTTTATTTATTTATATGCACCCCATGGTTTTGCTACGCCTTTTTGTATCATTTCTAATCTTGTTTTATTCACTGTGATATTCATGTCAGGCTGCACTGTGGTGTATGCAATCTGGAACCAATTTTCACACTTCTCTATTGTAACAGTTTTCTTGAATAAATTGTTTATAAGTGAAACTATAAATAACTTTGTAAATTATTAAAACAAACATTTATGCTTAAATGCATTGTTTGACAAAAATCTATTCATTTTATTATTTTTTATTTATTTATTTAATTTTTAAACCTTCAGTAACATATTTAATATGGCTCTTGTCTAATTTTGCCTACATATAGCAATGATTTTACTCCTTTCTTTCTTGTGAAATAAAATCTGGTTTTTAAAACACCTTTGCTAAGATGTGTTTTCAGTTTATACTGTCTTGTATTTGCATATTTGCTTTGCTGTTTAGCATGTAACTGTAATTCTGTGATTGTTTTATGTCAGGACAAGTTTTACTAATATGTATCCTAATTTTTATGTAGCTTTTTCCCACCAAATTAGCCCTTTTTTACATCAAATTTACCTTTTTAACATCAAATTAAGCTTTTTTTTAATGACTATTTAGAGATTGTTAGATGCGGTCTGGTGTGACGTAGGTTTTAGAAAAACATTTTCTTTATCGTGCCAACGTTTTGATCTTTGTTGAGATCATCTTGGGAGCCTGGGATTTATAAACATTATTTAAATTTTACAAATACATGCGGGATGTGAAAAAATGAATTTACACAGTGATGAACACAATATAGAAATTTTAGGTTTAATCAAAGGATTTGTACTCACTCAGAGTGTGTGTTTTCTGAGTAGATGTGTCACGGTTGTGTGCCTTGTTGAGGTGTTAGTGAGATATTAATGTTTTTTGTTTATATATGTTTGATTTTGAAGGAGTGGGGAAGGAAGTAGGGATAGAAATTCAGTTTTCTATGAGGAGTCTGCTTCTTTGAAGAGAAAGGGACTGACAATGGAAAAAAGGGTAATGGTTTGTCGTTCGGGCCTAGTTAGCCTTTCAGGATTATTAGGAAAAGGAGAGATAAATTGTTGGGGGTTTAGACTAGTAGAATTGTTTAAGATGAGGAGTGTAATGATTGTTTTATATGTTGTATTATATGTTTTGTGTGTTATATGTATGTTATTGATATCGCATGATTTCTGGTATTAGCGTAGAAAACATTTTTCTAAACCTACATCACACCAGACCGCATCTCACGATCTCTAAATATTCATCAATTAACGGTCACTAAATACTACACACTTTTTTTAATGTGAAACTAACCCTTTTTAATTTGAAATTAACCCTTTCTTTAAGGCATAAAAAGATTTAAAACCTTGTATAAAGTCTCATAAAGTAAAATGTGCTGTTAAATTCCTGTGTATTTGAGAATTTTAAAAAATATGAAATAATTGGTCTCTGATCAGACCGTATGATAAACAATTGCAATTAAAAAATTACATATAATTAAATATAAAAACATATTATTCTTCTATTAATTATTTGAGATTTTTATTTTTAAATATAAATTAATTGGTTTCTTAAAGCCCATAAGAAAATTAACTGCAATTAAAATTAAAAATTATATATATTTAAATATAAAAACAAACAATGCTTGATATTTATATTTTCTCTTAAATAAACCTAAACTTCAACAACAGATCTAAAAAAAATTGTCTTCTATACAAAGAAAAAGAAGACAATGACAATAAAGAAAAGAAGACTATACAATTTTTTATTTTAATTAACACATCTAAATTATATCAATGTAACAATAACATCGGTCCTTGGCCTACAGAGAAGGGGGGGGGGAAGCGAGTAAAATAATTCTTGTATATCAATTAATTATTCTTTTTATGTTAGGTCTTGGCTGGAGATGAATAAGTTAGTGTCACGAGCCGGATCCGAACCCACGACCTTCAGCTCAAAACACTGATAGTCTAACTACTTTTGATATCGTGACTTGGATCCACTTGGACCCCAACTCCCCATATCAACCTACAACAAATGGCAAAAAGAGGGAAAATTCGAAAGTTTGTAGGTTGAGATGGGGGAGTTGGTGTCCAAGTGGATCGAAGTAATGTTAGTTCAAATGGTTAGAGCAGCGGTGTATTGAGGCGAAGGTCCGAAAGGCGAAAGGTTCGAATCCCACTCGTGACACTAATTTTTTCATCTCAACCAAGACGTTACATAAAAAGAATAATTAATTTATATACAAGAATTATTTTACATGCTTATATTATCATCAACTCAGTTTTTTATTCCGTTTTGTAGGTTAATTTGAAATTAAAAAAGTTTAATTTGAAGGTGAAAGGGATTGATTTGAAATTAAAAAAAAAAGGTTCATTTGAAGTTTTCTTTAGTGATTGATCAGCCTTCTCAGTTTAAATATACTTTTTTCTTTCCACAAGGTAGATTGGGGATGAGGCCAGGAAGACAGAAACAACATTTATTTTCTTGTCGAGCTTTCGGCAGAATATATCGCCTTCATCAGGACTTCGAAAAAAAACGTTATATTATATGAACAGGTACATGTGTGGATAACGGATAACCGGTAGAACCCACCTTCGATAAACAGTTTATGATGAGTCCTGATGAAGGCGATATATTCTGCCGAAAGCTTGACAAGAAAATAAATGTTGTTTCTTTCTTCCTGGCCTCATCCCCAATCTACCTTGTGGAAAGAAAAAAGTATATTTATGTTCATTTGAAGATAAAAAAAAGTCAATTAGAAATTAAAAAGGGTTAATTTGAAGTTAAAAAGGATTATTTGAAGTAAAAATGGTTAATTTAAAATTAAAATTACTAATTTGATGTTAAAAAAGGTTAATTTGAAGATAAAAAGGGTTGATTTGAAGTTAAAAAGGATTATTTGAAGTAAAAAGGGTTAATTTAAAATTAAAATTACTAATTTGATTTAAAAAAGGTTAATTTGAAGATAAAAAGGGTTGATTTGAAATAACAAAAGGTTCATTTGAAGAAAAAAAGGTCAATTAGAAATTAAAGAGTTCATTTGAAGTTAAAGGTTAATTTAAAGTTAAAAATGACTAATTTGAAGTAAAAAAGGCTAATTTGAAGATAAAAAGGGTTAATTTGACGAAAAAGCTATACAACATCCAAACATGCAATTTTTCACTTGCTTTTCGGTGAAACCTTGCTAAAAGTTATTTTTTTGTTGCAACAATTTATCTCTAATGTGACACACTATAGAATTGTATTGGAATTATTGTTCTGAGAGAAATTTATTGACTAATCTGTGTGTATGCGTGTGTAATTAGTGTTTGCAATTGTGTGTCCAGGAATTCACAGGAAAACGTCAAGGTCTGTAGCTGTTAAGGTTATTGATAAGCTGAGATTTCCAACAAAACAAGAAGCTCAGTTGAAAAATGAGGTTGCAATTTTACAAAACCTGTCACATCAAGGTGTTGTTAATCTTGAGTGCATGTTTGAAACGCCTGACAGAATTTTTGTTATTATGGAGAAACTCAAAGGTGACATGCTTGAAATGATTTTGTCCAGTGAACGTGCTCGACTGTCAGAAAGAATAACTAAATTTCTTATAACACAAGTAAGTTGGTATGACCCCCCCTTTTTTTAATTACTGCATGATCTAAAAATGTACCATGCATATAATATATACCATATCCCAATACAATCACTGGTGCACATAATGGTTTAGGTAGTTATTAATAAAACAAGAAAAAGTAGTTTTTGATAAATCTTTTATTTGACAGAAAAAGATAATTTTTGTATATCAAGAACTAACTAATAACACTTTTATGGTATAATTTAAACAAGTAAAAGTATTATTTTTTTATCTAAATTGCTTGTGATGATTGCCAAATCATAAATAAACTTAACAAAGCTTTAACACTTCACCATACTTTCAAATTATTCTAACTACAATCCATTAATTACAAACTTTAAAATTTAAAACCTTCTTGCTATGATTGCTAAAAATTAAATTTTGTGTAAAGAAGAAACCCTAAAATAGTTACTGATTTTTTTTTCTTTTTTAACAGATTTTAGTTGCATTGAAACATCTGCATAGCAAAAACATCGTTCATTGTGATCTCAAGCCTGAAAATGTTTTGCTAAGTTCCAACTCTGATTTTCCACAAGTGAAGCTTTGTGATTTCGGCTTCGCTCGTATAATCGGCGAGAAATCATTTCGCCGTTCTGTCGTCGGTACACCGGCTTATTTAGGTAAGTTCTAGGCTATATTTTTAAATACAAGATTTAGTATTGTAATTGCATATAAAAAATCAGGGATAAGGCATATTTGAAAGAAAAGAAATATGCTCAATTGCTATATAATAAAAAAAATATATTATTTTTGTGCAATGGGCAGTTGTATTGGCTTCGTTTTAATAGGATAACCAGATGAAGGTATAATTTGTAATATAGAATGGACAGATGGTAGATCTCATCAACTCTAAGCTTTATTTTCCTTCAAATTTGCCTTAACCCTGATTTTTTATATATCAGGTTGGAAAATAAGTCCGTAATGTTTTTTGATGGTAAATTCAATAAAAATGTCATGTACTTTTAAACAAATTTAATCAAAAATAGATTAACCATTTGTTCCACTATTTGTTGCCATCTTTCATGTAATTCTGTAATTCCATCCTTCCAGAACATTGCAAGTTTTTGAGCAATGAACTCCTCGGTGATTTCTGCACTCAAGTGAAGTAGTTTTTCTCATTAACCTTTTTGGGACCGATTTTAGGATGGTAAAATGCTTTTCCTTGTCAATATTCTCGGCCATTACATGACCCCTCAGCCTGATTTATTTTGCATCGTGAAATTCAAAGTGTTTGCTTCAATTCGCTCTCACTCCTTTTAAGTTCAAAAGAAAAAAGTTTTATTTAATATGTAATATTTAGTAACCATTAATTAATGATTATTTAAAGATCGTGAGATGTGGTCTGGTGTGATGTAGGTTAGAAAAACATTTTCTTTACCTTTGGATTTTCGTGAGGAGGGTTTTGAAGTGATGGAAGACAAAAGGTTCAACCGGAAAGTAGACAAATCCAAATCGACAAAAGACGTAGGTAACTAATTCCAACGAGGACGGTCTTAATTTTCATTAGAGGTCAAACATTACCTGAAAGTTATATATACACTACATAAGATGTAAGATTGAACCATTTGTGAAAAATGTCATAATATGTTACAAGTACTTGAGATATAGGCACATCCAAGAGCATTAAGATGCGCTAACTGTCTAGAAGAACACACAAAAAAAAAGGATTGCAATAAAACCACAGAAAAATTGGAATGTATACACTGTCAAGGCCCTCATTCTGTGTTTTCACAAACCGAGTGCCCGGAATTTAAAAAACAAAAATCAATCAAGGTACTTATGGCTCAAGATAATATTTCTTATAACGAAGCTAAAATGCGAATAAATAAAAAATCTTACGCTAAAGTAACCGATAGTTCGGAAATAAAGAATATAGATTTATTTCCCCCTCTCACCCCAATCAATAGTAATAAAAATAGCGAAAACAAAGAAAATAAAAAACGTATGTGTTCTCCGGAGTCAGAATCTCAGCAAGCCCAGAAATGATTGTATTCCCCGATAATCCCAACCCCATAAAAATATTCCAGGTGGATTAATCCAACATAATCCGCATAGACCAATAGAAGTTGAATTCAAAGCGAAATCTTTGAATTTTAGCATCATATGCGAATCGATTTTCAATGTGTTAAAAGATTTACTGAAAGACAAATCGGTTGATCTGAATACGACCTCAGAAATAATACAAACTATTGAACAGCATGTTCTAAAACTCCCCCTTTTCAATATAATCAATATTCAATTCAATAACAAATGACAGAGGTATTCACAGTTATGCAATGGAATGCAAGATCTCTCGTATTGAACAAAGGAAATTTAGAAGCACACATTCATAACAAAAAGATTGATATAATAGCTATATCCGAAACCTGGTTTAAACCAAATCGATCATATTATTTCAGAGAGTATAATATATTAAGAAAAGATTGAGCAGAAGGACGGTCTGGTGTAGCCTACCTCATAAAGAAAAATATTCCATATACCAATTTGAATATTGCTAATTGCCGAGCAAATATCGTCAGTATTGGAGCACAAGTTATGACAAACAAAAGTGAGAAAATATAATGTCTGTATACAATACTCACAAAGAGGCTCATGAAATTTCAACATGGGAAAAATTCTTTAACGGGCTACCAAAACAGATCCTTGTAGCAGGGGATTTTAATCGCCATCATATGGCTATAGGCAGTAGTAGAACTGACAAAAAGGGACGGAATCTTCTAGAGGCAGCTCATAACTGCCAACTTTCATTTTTAAATACGGGAGAACCAACGTTCAATCAATCCAAAACAAATCCGCGGTGAATATCACATTTTGTTCGTCAGAGTTAGCTTGTAATTTTCAATGGTCAGTAGGCTGCGATCCTCTTGGATCAAACCACTTGCCTATTCTTTTAAAGATGAATGATATTAACGTTAAAAAAAGGGATATAGTTCCCTCCAAAAAAGTATGAGACGTTAAAAAGGCAGATTGGGGGAAATTCCAACAGTTTATATTATCAGGAGAGCCGCCAGCCGAACCAACATATGACAAATTCAATAATCAATTAAGCTCAGCAGCTCAATATTCGATACCGGTAATGAACAGAAAAGTTGTCCGTACGAAATATCATTATGTTTGGTGGAATAACACTGTCTCAAGGAAAGTGAAAGAACGGAGGAGGGCATTCGACCTGTATAAAAAGCAAACGACATACGAAAACTGGTTAATTTACCAAAAAGCATGCATGGAAACTAAAAGAATTATAATTAAAGAAAAAATAATGACATGGAAAAATTCTGTGAGACTTTAAATAAACAAACACCACTAAAAACTATTTGGTCAAGGATCAGGGCAATAAAAAATCATAAGTTTAAAAACAATACCACCCCTACTGTAAAAGGACAGTGGGCGGAAGAATTTTTACAGAGGATTACTCCAGACTATGTTGCAAACAAATCAGCCGTCCTAGATTATGAAAATACCATGAACATGAACAGATGCCTCCTCAGGGATTTCACACTGGATGAATTAAGAAACGTGTAAAAAGAAGTAACAGTTCAGCTCCAGGGGCAGATGGCATTCCCTATATTATGTTGTATAACTTACGTAAGAGAAAAATTGAAGAACTCTTGGTCATATTCAATGAGATTTGGAAAAAAAATGCAATGACAAAACAGTATAGTAATACCACTCGTAAAACCAAATAAGGACCCAAACTGTTGTTCTAGCTTAACTTCGTGTGTGATGAAAACATTTGAGTGAATGGTGAAAAGCAGGCTGGAATGGTGGTTGGAATCAGAAAAGAAATTACCAGACTTCCAGTATGGGTTTTGTAAAGGAAAGTCCACACTGCATAATATCACGAGGTTAGTTACAGACATTAATTTGAATTTTACGTTAAACAGAACAGTAATCGCAGCATTTCTGGATTTGGTGGGTGCATATGATAATATTGACCTGGGGGGTCTCTATCCAAAAAAATGGTAAATATGGGCTTGCCATATAGTTTTGTAGGTAAGGTCATAAACCTGATATCAAATCGCAAAGTGTTTTTAAAGGTGGAGGGACAGTTAATTGGACCACGGTATGCTCGATCAGGTTTACCGCAGGGAGGGATCTTGAGTCCAATTCTTTTCTCAATTTTTACGAGTGATATTAAGCGTGACCTCCCTATGGTATAAAAGTACTGATGTATGCAGATGACATCTGCCTGTACTCTGAACGTAGGGATATAGAAACAGCAAAATATATTTTTAATGAGGATATGATCATAATTAAAAAATGGTTATTTGAGAATGGTCAAAGCTTATCTCCAGAAAAATCAGTTGTCTGCGTTTTTTCAAAAAATGAGAAGAATCCCTATGGGGGACCAAGTTATTTTAGCAGAGGAAGCCTTTCAAGTAAGTAGGGAAATAAAATTCTTAGGGATGTTTCTTAACAAAACACTTAGTTGGAAAGAACATATTAGTTACGTAAAAGCGGAAAAATATTTGAATATACTAAAAATGGTAACATATAAAAACTGGGGGTCAGACCCAGCCACCGCTTTGTTGTTTTACAGAGCCACGATATGGTCAATAATAGATTATGGTTGTTTTCTATATGGGGATGCGGCAGTATCTACCCTTAAACCGTTAGATGAGTTAATAAAACTATCAGGCAATGTATGGGGGTACCTAAAGTCTACTCCCATAGATGTTTTATACTCAGAATCATGTGAAATGCCACTGAATTTAAGAAGACAGTTCTTGGTGGACAAGTTTTGCTTAAAACTAATGGCATATGAAGAGGGTATGTGCGTGCAGATATGTCTGTTGGCAAACTCTGATTCATAGATTTTGGTCCAAAAAAAATTACCCATTACTAGCGTCCAGTTGGTTGAAGTTAAATGAATATAGAAATAAGATATTATGCTCAAGAAATAATTATTCAGATATCGTGAGATGCGGTCGGGTGTGATGTAGGTTTCAGAAAAACTTTACAATTAATTAAGGTTTTTAGTTGAGATGAAAAAAAGCTAATGGCACGAGAGGGATTCGAACCCACGACCTTCGGCTAGATACGCCGCTGCTCTACCACCTGAGCTATCGTGACCTCGATCCACTCGGACATCAACTCCCCATCTCAACCCCACCTTATGAGTTTTCCCTCCTTTTGCCATTTTTAAAATGTCGTGTAATCGGTTTGGATTCTCGACGACAATTGAAATGGCCACAGAGAGCTTTAGTGAAGTGTACTTCATATTAATTCTTTAAATTCACTAATTTTGTGGTCCGCTTGACCAATTAAATCATTACAATTAATTAAGGTTTTTAGTTGAACCTTAATTAATTCTACCCTTAATTTGTCTCATTGTTTTTATCAATAAATATTTGTTTATGCTATGTTTTAAATTGGGAATATCAAGTAGACGTAAACACACTTAATCCTTAATCCAAAACAAGGATAAAGGATTTTTCAATGTTTAATTTTTATGGAATCTATCCAAGGCAAGAGGAGAACCTACGCGATATTGAAATGTTAATTAAAAATCTAAAACAAAATTAAAACAATTTTATCTGTCCATCTTTTTTTATTTTTCATTTTCCATAAGAATTTACATTTTTTTTATTTTCTTAGACAAAGACTCAATTATTAAACATTAAAAAATGTGAAGCTTTGATTAATATATAAAAATATATACAAATCAAGTTATATTACAAGTGGGCGGAATTTTTTGCCTGTCAGTGTAATAATAAAAATGATAAATTTAAAAAAAAAACTAAAATCACTTTCCATTGTAGCATCTTTAATATGACTTTCCTTTTAATTTTAGCGCCCGAAGTGTTGAGGAACAAAGGTTACAACCGGTCACTCGACATGTGGAGTGTCGGTGTTATAGTTTATGTCTCATTAAGTGGCACGTTTCCATTCAATGAAGATGAAGACATAAATGACCAAATTCAAAACGCCGCGTTCATGTATCCCCCACATCCTTGGAAGGAGATATCGGCTGAAGCTCGAGATCTGATTAATAATTTGCTTCAAGTGAAACAAAGAAAACGATTCACCGTAGACAAATCCCTTTCGCATATTTGGCTGCAGGTAATTAAATTTTTTTCAACCAATCTATGATGCTTTTGCATTGTCCAGAATATATTCCAGATTATTTTCTTCTTTTTTTCCAGCATTATGAAACGTGGTGTGATTTAAGAACTTTAGAAAAAGCCACAGGATGTCGATATCTCACTCATGAGTCTGATGATGCTCGCTGGGCTACTTTCAGAGATGAGCTGTAGTATTAAAAAAAAATAATAATGAAATTTCCATTAGTTTATATCACTAAAATGGCTACTACATATGTACACACACACACACACACACACACACACAAAATAATTTGACTCATAAGTTATATGATCAGTCTAGAATCATTAATTTTTGGATAATTTTTTTAAAAGAAATTACTTGTTGATATTTGTTATAATTTTTGATACAATTAAAAGAACAAATTATGTATTGGTTAAAAAGGGGGGTGGAAATGTACGAACTACATCGCTTTAATTTTTTTTATTTTTTGACGTACAACAGTAAACAAAATTTATTTTTATTAATCAAAATACAATTTGTCTGCTTACTATTTATTTCAAAAATTGATTGATAAAAACTCATGAAATTAACAAGTTGACTGCATCCTATGCTTGACTAGTTTGGTTGCTCACAGCGGAACCCAATTTATATAAAATAGCTCTCTGATACTTAAAAATAATGTAAATTATTTATTTGTTGTACTGTAAATTATTAGTTTTTATGTTATGTTTATTAGTGATAAAAATTATATGTAGTAAGAGTTGCATCCCCCGCCGCATTAAGTAAATGAAGTAGATCACCCGCAGAGCGTTTGTTCCATTTGGGTTTGCAATTGAATAAAAGTCATTTCTACTCCTTTTAAACAATGGATACTCATTACAAAATAAAAGTTGAATAATTTATTTTGAAACCTTTTAGAAAGGTGATTATGTTAAAAAAAAAAAAAACCTATATTCTTGTATACTATTTTAAATATCAGGATGTGCATTTGGCTCGAAGGTTTGACGATTAGGGTTCACAACTTTGACAGAATATTCTAAAACTATCAAAATCGCTGGTTTCAGCTTGTAATGTTATTTTCTTTTTTCCTCTCTTACAACTAAAAAGCAGGAAAGAGAGATGAATCTTTAAAAAATGTTGATTTAAATAAAATATTTAACATTGTCAGTGCAAATGCCCAGTACAGAATCTAAATATAGACATATCTGTATAAAATTTTTTTATGGATTATGTTAGTTTTACAGTGAATCCTATGAAATATTGAATACTGGTTACTTGTTAAGTATTCAACTTTTTATTTATTTATTATTTTTTATCAATGTTTGAACCGTTTGCATTGCATTTAAATGAACATGGATTATCAATTCGATAATGCAAATTTTGTGATATCGACATAGTGAACTTAGTATTAAAAGTATAGTTAAACGATTAATTAATTATTGACTGAAGTATTACAGTATGAGAGCTTTGTCTCGTACAATATCTTCCCATCTGACTTGTAACATCATGAAATTAAACTTCCTCTCTGTTAAACTGTGCCAAAAATGAAGACTTGTTCAGAATAAAAGTGGGCTTAAAATAACATTATGTTCATTATGTGTACTGTCACGAAATTAAAGGGAAATATTGTAACAAACCCTCCTTCCAGTGACAAAAAAAATAATAATAATACTCAATGTGCATTTATGTAAATTATGTAGGGAAAAGGGATTTGGCAGACTTCATTTAAACTTGATCAAAAAGTAACTGAACAGTTTTAAAGTTCAACTCGATAAAACATTGATTGTGAAATTTCTCCGCGTTATCTGCGGGTTGATGAACCTGAAATTTTGGTCATTACCGATCCTCCTGTGGAGGCGTATCGCTATTTCTGCATTTTGCCATCTTCATTGTGTCACAAACCAGTTAGTCTAGGTCAAAACTGTATAAATAGTTTGTACAAAGTGGGTTCGAATCCCACTCGTAACACTACCTTTTTCATTTCAACCAAGACCTTAATAAAATGTATGATTAATAAAGATTAGAATTGGGTTCCTCCTGAGGTGTGCAGAGGGATTAATCTGTAATTTGAGCCTTACCAATTGGTATGTTTTAAGTTACCATTGACACACTGAAGATGGTGGCTGAAATGCACTTGACAGACCAATTCAATGAGGATAAGCTGGCCAAAATGATCATTAACAACCAAATTTCATTATTATTGTTGTTCATTGTTCTGTAACTTATTTTTTAAATTATAGGGTGTAATGCGAAAGTTTTCCTTGCTCGATCATATTGGTACCCCTTCAGAATTTTTATTAGTCCAAACTTAAGGAATTTTCGAGCTAAACAAAATTTCACAAGTTTGTAGTCATTTCTGCTCTATTACAAAATTGAGATGAAAGATAGAATTCAGTTTCATTTTCTGTCTTCAGTTTGTCAAGTTCTTTTTAAAGTTACGGATGACACACTGAAGATGGTGGCTGAAACGCACCTTACAGACCCACCCAGCAAAGATAAGCTGGTCAAAATGATGGTTAAGGACCAAATTTCATTATTATTGATATCCATTGTTCTGTAATTTAGTTTTTAAATTAGGGAATAATTCAAAAGTCTTCCTTTACTCCAAAATAACAGATTTCTACGATGATCAGCCTCGATCCAAACTACTTTCAATGATTCATGTACTCTTAGATTACGGGATGTGATTTCGCGCTTTAATATGTCAAGTAGTACACATTAATATAGCCAATAAACAGAGACTTTGTAAATGAAAAATTTAAAATCAAAATAAAATTTACATTTTCAGTTTGGAAGGGGGAGGCAAAAAATTTGATCCAGTAACAGTACTTTAATCTATTCTATTGAGTATTATCACAATAATTACAACAAAAAGGCGTTTATTTATATTGAACTATTAAAATACAAAACAATGTGCAATATATTATATGTATGTGTATATGTGAATAAATATATAATAATTTAATATAAGACAAAGTTAATAGATTGAGATTATATTTACTGTGAATACTACAAACAATGAATTAGCATAAGAAAGGTAGTTGGTAATGTTATTCCTATTTGAAGAAAAATAAGTAATTATATTATTTTTGTTTATTTACAAATTTGCTTTGCTGTATTAAAATGTCTACCAAAATGAATATGTTCATGAAATGATAGATATATTTTTTAAATTGACGTCAGTGTTTTAAAATTGTGTTTTTAATTTTATCTAATTGAATGTGGTACTGTTTGTATACAAATTTTTCTTTGGGGTCACAAATGATTTTTGGTCTTTGTAGAAAAAAGTTCTAACTAGTGTTTTCAAACGTGTTATCACCCACAAAACTGTTTAATATCAGCAGTTTAACATTTGCATACCAGGCATGTTTTCTAATTTTGAATCACCCTAAAAGAAGAAATTGTGGCCAATCTCATATCCGTAAATTCCTTGAGATAAACTTTACCCATTTGATTTGTACGTCACATCATGTATAAAAGGCAGACCACAAAATCTTTTGGTTCATTCTATCAAACAAGTTGTAAAATGTGTCCTGGTACTGTATAAATACGGTGCTTTGTAACATTGAAAAAATATACATTCAAAGTCTGAGAATAAAAATAACATTGTGATTAGTAGATGAAAGAGGTAGAAAAATCTACACGGTTTAATTCAACCTTTTTTCAAATTATTAGGATTTTTGTCTTTATTTTTTCTTTTTATTCGACAAACATTCCATAATTTTCAGTATTTTCTTGTTTTTCCTACCACCAATTATGGGGGGGGGGAGTATTAATTAAAATGAGTTTTCAATGATGTTCCAATTCTTTGTATGGTTGTATTTCAAGGTTGTGTATGTCATTTGAAAGACCAGAAACACTGGCTCTAGAGATCATTAATAGGAATGTTATAGTAGTTAAAAAAAATGAAATTTAATAATAATATTTTTTATAATAAATGTTTTGTAAAACATGGTGATATGTAACATAGATTGAACTTATCTTCAAAAGACTATAACACAAATGAATCTCTAATATGCAATATATTTGTAGCTACGTTAAGGGCTTTCTTTGTTAATTGAAATTTTCCAGTATTATAAAAGTGTATAGGAAATAAATTTTCCAGTTTGATTTGCCTCGTTTTAATATTTTTGTATGAACGTCAACAATAATGTCTTTCAAAACGGGTTTATTGAATGTTGATTTAGATGCTCAAGCTAAGAGTATTTTAATTCTCTTAAATACAGAGAATTTTATTATCTTTATTGTATGTGTGTTAAAACAAATTAGTCAACGGTTAAACCTGATATGTGTATGTATATAAATATATGTAATGTGTGTGCGTGTGCATTAAAAAATAAAGCTTCCAATATAGATCTGAAATAACCGCAATGGTATATAATATATTATACATTAAAATTATTATCATGTTTTATGGTAAAACCATTTAATAGTTTAATTTTATTATCACTGTTTTTATTATACAAAAAGATTATATAATTTTTTTAATGTAACTGTTTTAACGAATATGTGTATAATGTTAAGAGTATGTTAAGTATTAAGAATTTTTATTATACTTTTTATTTTTTATTACAACTTTATAAAAACTTTTGTTAAATTTCTAATATAGAACATGCAAAGTAAAACAATTATTTGTTAACTTCCAGGTTGGACAACAGCACCCCTTGTGTAAATTCTCAAAGACAAAAGAAAGCTTCGCACTCATATATTTAATTTGTTTTATGGAAAAACATCGCGTGGTGGATTTGTAACCTAACCCTAACCCTAACAAACCATCAACTATTCAATGAACACGCACTATGTTACTTAGCTGAAAAATAAAACTAAAGCTTGGGGTCAAAAAAATTACAATACAAATAATGAGAGGATGCCCCAAGGAGGAGTACTATCACCAACCTTATGGTCACTGGTGGTGGATGACCTCCTCCATAAGTTAACCATAATGGGCTTTGACTTTTAAAGTTTTAATTATAATTAGAGGCAAATGCAATCAAACTCTGGTCAAATTAATGAAAAAAACTCAAATACTAAAATGTTGCCAAGATAATGGTCTACATAAAACCCCTCAAAGGCCAACAATTGAGGCATTCTAGGAAAAAGAGCTCAATAAGCATAAGATTAAAGATTACTGTAAAGATGTGAATCTGCCAGAGGAAATCGATAGACTTTGATATGATCAGAAAACCTAATAAATAAAATGTAAAACACTTGTTGGACACATCGAATTGGTCCTAAGGAGGAAGGCCATCAATATACTTACTCCTGATGGATCAGAGATGTCATAGAGCCATCGGTTGTCCACCTTGTGACCCACCCAATTCTCCAGCTCCCCTGGTATAGTCTATTGGATGGCGCATGCAGTTCCCCATGGTTGGTGGGCCACTCCAGGTGCACCCCTACCTAGTTGGCTTCGTACAGCCCCCTCATCAATGGGTCGGTATAGCCCACCCACAGATGCACACAGGGACTGCATGAGCCAGCTGTGGAATTTCCATCTTTGCCAGAGATAATATGATAAATACCGAGAGCAAATACTAGGCATGAGGCAAGCAAAAAGACTACTTGCAAAAACAACCCAATGGGAAAAAGAAGAAATACTGCTTAACAGAAAGGAACAACTTCTAACTTGTATTTACAGGACATAATAAAATACAACCTTAAAAAAATGGGACTATCAGCAAATGGCCACTATCGACTATGTTTAGAAGTGGCAAATAGGACAGCGCATATCCTATCCGACTTCTCCACAATAGCTAGGAAAAGGTTATGGTACCTGGTAAAGCCATTCTTGTCTCTTGTACAATGACTACCCCGATACCGTACCCACAAGAAGAATTCTCTACCTCATAAAAGAAACAAAAACCTTCCAGGAAAACAGCAAAGGCACAATAGACGAAAGTTTAAGTGCCAAAAGGAGAAATTCCTACAACTACAAATGAGGAAGGGAAAAACCCAAACCTAAAAGTTGAAAGTTATGAGTCGGCCTCTTTACAACCTTTCACACCCAAACCAATGTTGGTTTATTATGCAATTTATTATTATCTAAAGCTCATTAAGTTTAAGGCTTTTTACCAGATTACAAGGCTTTGTTAAGGTCTCTCCTGTCCTTCAGACACCTCCAAGAAGTAGGAATCTCAGCGTGCAAGGATTGTTTCTACTGCTCTCAGAATAGATATGCCTCTAGAGCCTGCAGTGAGTTATAACCCATGGAGGAAATAATTGGGTGTAGAGCAACAGGCTTCTATCAGCCACGTAACGCAGATACATGGGTACATCAAATGGAAGTATTGTATGACCAATCTTACTACACACTCAAACTGTAACCTGAATCTATTCTTACCACCTTAGCAGTTGATGGCCGTCACACTCTAAATTACAAAAGAATTGAGAGAAATGAACAAACAGTCTTGTAAGAAAGATGCAGATGCAGAAAAGAAACCTACACAATATTAGACAGTTTTGAATAGAAAATAAAATTGATCCAGTGTGTGGCTATATAAGCCTTCAGTCTAGTTAAGAAGCTTAAGCCTTTACTTTACCTGCTACATGATTCTAAATCTTAGTTAAACAACACTTATAAGTCAGGCTGTTTTTTTTTTATCAGGCGGCTATCACAGAGAAGAGGGACCCCAAGGAAATATCTTAAGACACATTCTTCTATACACCTCAGATATACCTAACCGTTCTGAAACGATCCTTATCACCTAAGCAGACAATACTACCATCCTTTGCTTGCATAAAAATCCTGTCATTTCAACCAGAAACTTGCAAACTCAAGCCACAACAAAACCAATCACACTGCACAAGAGAACAAAATAATTGAGGGCCTTTGCACAGGCCTCTAATGTGCTGAGTTTAAACAAATCCTCCGGAGTCGACAGTGTCCAGCCAGCAGACCTATCATAATACAGCCTAGGTTTAGTAGTTCTGCCGTTAGTTTCTGCAATGGTCCTTTGATGAACTTTTTCACATGAGTCTCTCTATCCCATTGAACGATTAGATCTGTGTTTCTGGTATTTGGTTTGCCATAAAAGGATTCAGGGCTGATAGGTGTCCTTGTTAAACATTCATTGGCCACTTTATCCAGTAACTTTTCAACTTTAGTTATATAACAAATTTGATTTGAGGAAATCCTTCGTTTGTGGCTGGGTTGCTTCACGAAGAAATGAGTTTTGCCAAAAAGTGGAAATGTTAAGGGACAAATTTACACTCAAACAATATAAAATTTTATTAGTTTAACAAAAATAATTTATTATCACATTTGAAAATAGTCCCCCCCTGTATTTGTCAATCTCCTTGTATCGATCTCCAAAACATTCTGTAACTTAAAAAAAAAAAAATAATAAAGTTTACTTTACAAATAAATTGAATACTTACAATTAACATGTCAAAAATTGACATAAATACATTGACAGGAAAAACATTCCACCCATCACTTGTATTTCATATTATTTTAGATAATTATTCAGAAATCGCGAGATGCAGTCTGGTGTGATGTAGGTTTCAGAAAAACATTTTCTTTATCGTGCTAATGTTTCGATCTTTATTAAGATCATTTTCAGGGCTCAAAGTGTTTGTCTTCTGTGTAATTGTGCCATTCTTGCATGTCATGTTGAGAGTGCACGACACGCAAGAATGGCACAATTACACAGAAGACAAACACTTTGAGCCCTGAAGATGATCTCAATAAAGATCCAAACGTTGGCACGATAANTTTGATTAAAGAACATTGCTTTAAAGTAACTAGTTTCTTTTTTTTTTTGTTTAATACCAAAATCCTGCATTATTTTCCGGACAACCCAATAATTGAGCAAATTTTGTTTCAAAAAGTAAATCTTATATATCTTATAAATCTTATACTAGTCAGCTGTCATATTCCATAATTTTAGTATTAGAAGTATTGACCACTTTTTCACTATAGATCAAGGTATGGTTCAAATTTCCTTGAAGACTGACTCAGTCCTAACATTGCCAAGGACTGAATCTCCCAATTTTTGAAATGCCAAATCCTTTGCAATGTTAGGACTGAGTCAGTCTTCAAGGAAATTTGAGATCACCTGTAAAAACTTAAATATGTCAATATATAATCACAGTTAAGATTGTTATGCCCTGACGATGACCTTAAAATAAGTTGGAAGTTTGTCAGTAAAAACTTAATTTGCTTTTTTCTTCAAGACCATACCTTGATCCAGAATGTTCGTGATAAACTTTAATCAATACTACCACTGAAAGTTTAAAATAATATTTTTTAAACAATTCACTTACCAAATTAGTCCAACATTCTTATATACTGTCCCTCTTTGTTAACGTCAAGTAATCAATTCTAAAGAAAAAAAATGCAAGAAAGAGAATCAATTAAATGCTAACATTAACAAGCTAAAATAAAATTTGAGCACTTTTTGTGAAGAATTTTTTTAAACAAAAGAAAATACACTCAAAGACAAAAAAAAACAGAAACTCGTAATTTGTTGTTTATTTCAAACTATGTTTATGTACTTTTATTGTTATATTAATTACAACATAAATAAGATCAGAAATTCACCAAAACACCGGAAAATCATTTAGTGATACTGCTTAAAACAACAATTTATTCCCCGATTTTGCTCTTAATAATGCATACTATCTCCTCTGGCCTCACGGAGGGCCTTAATTCTCCTAGTAAATAAGTGATAGGATTTCATTTTAAGAAACATAATCCCATTCTTCAACAAGGACGGTCTGATGCTATCCAACGCCTGTTGGAACCAGAGAATGATATCTAACCCGTCTCTTTATCATGTCCCATAAGTGTTCTATGGGATTCATGTCAGGAGAATATGCTGGCCAATTCATTGTGGTAATCCCTACATCCTCCAGTAATAGGTGACAACTCAAGTTACATGCGGTCGAGCGTTATCATGCATTAACAAATTTGTCTCCAATAGATGTAGCAAATGGGACCACAGTCCAGAAGAAATTTTTCAATGTACCTTAGTGCAGTCCATCCATTCTGTATGACAATCAGCTTGGTGCAGGCAAGGATGTTAATTCCACCACTGACTGTCTTTGAAAAGGCTGTGACTAATGCATGGCACATTAAGCAAAGCATATTCCATGGCTTCTCTATACACAGACCCGATCATCTGATTATCTCAAACCAAACCAAAAAGAACATTGTCCCAGTGTCCAAGCGAGATGCTGATTTGTGAATTGTCAACTTTCTCTCCACTAGAAGAGAACCAATGCAGGACTTTCAGAGACTAGGCTATTCCACGAAGCCTTCTATGATACCCTTATGTTAAGGATCGGTTGGAGTTACTTATCAAGGAAGCCATTAAATAACAGTTCCGTAGTGCAATAAGAGCGATAAAACGATAATCTCTAGCCATCGTAAATCATGGTTGTCCACTACCTTCTTTTCTATTGAGACTTCTGGTGGCCCTAAACCACTGTAGATCATCGTGCATGGAGTGCAGCACACCTAGGACTTGGGCTATGAAACGGATGCTAGGTCTGTCGGCCAAAGCATCTGCCCGATCTTCTCAACTCAAAACCATGCTTTTAAGAAAATTAATTTTTTACTTAAATTTATTATTTATTCAACAATTTAAAAAACCAAATAACTCACTCGACAAGTTGGGTCTGGAAAGGATGAAATTGAACTGATTTTTGTTATTTTTAATCAAAAGAGGGTAAAAGGATTAGTAACACACTATAAAGGTAAACAACAAGTAATTAATGTTGGGTTAAAATAGTTTTAAGTCAATTTTTTTTGCCTTATGAACTTTGCATATCAGCCAATGAGCATGATTAATCATGTGATGATGCGTATTCTTTTTGGGGGAGAAGGGTTGTGTGGAAAAAAGGGCCAGGGTTAATGGTGAGAAACAAACCACAACCATGAGGTCGAAAGCTGAGAATCTATAGTGCTGACCACTTGGCTATTGTGGACTCCCAACTATTATTCTTTACAACTAGTTATTATGGAAATAAATAAATACAAGTGTCTTTTTTTTGTCTTTGAGTGACAATGTCATGACTGACTCACAGAATTGTTATTGACTTATTGACTTGCCATTCTAAAGGGAGTTGTAAGCTGGACATTTTTGTTAAATTGTTAAATTACAATTATGACAAAGCCACAAAAAACAAAACAAAAACTCAAATTTATTTGATTTGAAATACGTAACTAAATTGCCTTATTAGTTAAGTTAATTACAATTAAACTGTTGTATCAGATATTTCAGAATGAATTAGACGGTATATTTAAAAAAAAATAAACCAATTTACAAATATCAATACATACATGATATAAGAAACCACCGAGCATCTCTCTCTGAAGCTGTTCCGCCTGCAACGTACCGTCGATCGGCTGGCAGTTTTTGTTGAAAATCGAGTATGCGCTCACTTCACCTCTTTTTTTTTGCCCCGTCCTTGTATTGTAGTATATGAAAATCAAGGCCGATATAGCAAGAAACACAGTGCCGAATTCCACTTTGATCGCAAGGTAATAAAGCGAGCCCCAGAGCGAAAGCCTGAGTATGAACCACAACACATCCTTTTTCGACCAAGAAATACTGATGCTATCATCGGAAGATACACTCTGAACATCAATACAATCCAACTCTCCTAGCTATTTAAAAATAAGATTAACAATAAATTTGTAAATTTTATAACTAAAATTTTAATATAAAAAATTACCAATTCTGATTTGTCAGGAACTTCTCCTCTTTCATCCTCCTCACTTTCATCTAGAACAGGTCTCTGAAAATAAACATCTAAATTAACTACAGAGGAAAAATCGGAAAAAGAAGAGTAGATTAAAAACACAGAAAGGACGGTGGAAAATAATATACAAAGGAGTTGAAAAGTTCAAACTGAGGAGGATCAGTATTGAATACACATACACAGAATAATAGATTGGAGACAGAAGGATACAGCTTTTTTTAGAACACTTTTTTCATTAAAAATTCATGGGTTGTGCCAGGATTCGAACCCACAACAGCTAGCATAGCAAATACAAGTTGAACACCCTAACCACTTGCCTACCGAGGTCCAAAAAGTAAAGTTATTCCTGCCGTACAAGAGGGCTATCGTTCAACTACCCTTTGGGTGTTGTGAACAACAGGGTCAAACCAATTTAGAAGATGTTTTTCATAAGATTCTCAATAAAAATCCTTGGACAAACACTGAGGCATATCGAGTAAGAATGTGTCATAGCCTGGCACTAATGTGGGTCTATATTTATGTCAATTAATTAATCTTTTTATGTAAGGTTTTGGTTGAAATGAAAAAGTTAGTGTCACGAGCGTGATTCGAACCCACGACATTCGTGGCTATCGTGACTTCGATCCACTCAGACACCAACTCCCCATCTCAACCTACAACCATTCGAATTTTCCCTTCTTTTTGCCATTTTTCAATGGTATAACTTTTTCATTTCAACCAAAACCGTACATAAAAAGATTAATTAATTGAAAGAAGTAATTTTGTCAAACAGACCACTAAATATAATGGATTTATGTCAATATTAAACCTTACATGTGAAGATTTTAAACCGTGCCCTAGCCAGATAGAGGGTTTTGATGTTAAATTGTCTTTGTATGATTTAAAAACTTGAGAGTAAACTAGTTATTCCATGTTTAAACAACATAAATCAGATACCTTCTCCTGGTCCTTCTGGCTGAAATCGAAAGCGCTTTTTACCCTGTTGTAAATGCTTTCCATTGCCTTTTTCCTCCTGTAAGCTTTAAGACGGTCTTCATAATTCATGCCAGAAAGCTTCCTTTGGTCAACAGGCTGCTGGGGCTGGCCCTTCTGGGGTAGAACGTAGATCTAACAAGTTGACAAAAGATGAGAACTTAAAGCTGATTTGGCCTGTTGTCAGTCAGCTGTCCTTTGAAAACAAAACGAACCAGCCAAAATACAACTGACAAGACATCAAACATAATTCTATCTGATGTCACAAATGGTTGTCATTATGGATAATTTATTTATTTTAAAGGAACAAATAGAGTTTTAAACCCCCTTACATGTGCATGATATATCTTAGAAATAGATTTAGTTTTATTAACATTGTAAAATAATAATAAAACACACAAAATAATAATGGCAGTAGGGGCCTCGGTGGCCGCAACGGTTTAGGCGTTGACACGGCACTCATCACTTAAACTCTTAAAGTAAAGGTCCCGGGTTCGAACCCGACATACTAACAAATGGGCTTTTTTTTTCAAAAACACCGCACCCTGAGGGTTGATATGACCTCTGCTCGTTAAAAAAAAATAATAATAATAAGGCAGTAATATATCCTTTAAAATATTAATTATTTACAATAGAATGACGAAACCATACAAGGTAGGAAAGCAGAAAGAGAAAGAAGATAAAAGAAAACGAGGGAAAGGAAAGGAAGAGAGAAGAAAAAAATGCGATTTATGCCATTTTTAAAATCTCAGATGCCATGGACTGAAACAAGTTAGTGAGGAAGAACACTTCTTGTGGAAGCAAATTCCATAGTCTTGTCACTGCAATTCTGAAGAACAAGAAGTTTAAGAGGAGTGTTAAAGGCTTGGTATATGATTGTTGCATTTTGTTAAGGAATATAGGAAGAAAAAGTTAACATTGAGGACATTTATTTGGTTTAATTTTCAACATTTACATTAAAACGCTAAGTTTATAAGTGCTTACAATGTTAAGATTGCTGAAGACATTAATTTAGGAAGTGGTACGGTTGAAGATGATAACAGTATCTAACGCAGGAATTATAATCAAATTGACTACGATGACCACGTTGAGAATCTAAAGAAAGTGAAAAAACAGAGCTACAGTAAGAGAATAAAGGAGTTATTAGAGATTAAATAAGGAGAACTCTAGTTTTCTGTGAAATGAAAAACGTGAAACTTGTGAATAATCAGAATGAGTTTCCTTATTTACTTCCAGATTAAACTTTAATATTCCCCACCTCACATCCCATAAACATAAAATATTCTTCATTTCCACCCATAAGATTAATTACATAAAAGAAAGTCCCATCATTAAGTTAATGCACGTGCCATGCTTATCCACACCTTCCATACCAAGATAATATTAGCATTTTTAAAAATCAATTAATTTCTGCACTTGTGCTGTCTAGGTATAGTCCTAAGTATTTGACTTGGATGGAAGTTGGTCTCTCTTTCTTACAGATGTACAGTGGAATGCAAGACTGTTTTTTCAATGTGAATGTTCACTAAGTAAATTTTCTTTCATTCAATGATGACCTCCACTTTTTGCAACAGTCTTCGATAATCTCAAGTTGTTCTTGGATATTGGAGGTAGCTTGGGAAGGATTGGTCTTAGAGGACAAAATTACGGTATCGTCCGCATAGGTTGTGATGAAGGTATTGGGGTGCGTACGTAGGTCAGCAGTATAAATAATACAAAGAAGGGGACCAAAAATGTTCCCTTGTGGGACGCCGGCTTGTATCGGTCTGATCTCCGAGTACTCGTTTCCACACCTCAATCTGAAGCAGCGGTCGGTCAGATAGGATATCATGATAAGATAATAAAGAGTGGGTAAGAAGCATTTAAAAGTTCATAAAGCACGACCGGGAGCCAGACCCTATCAAAAGCTTGTGCAACATCTAGGAACGCACCCAAGCTACACTCTTTGTTTTCGAGAGACCCAAAAATAAAACTTTATGCAGAACGTTTTAAAAAAAAATTAGGTTTATACTCTCTATTCTCAGGATACGAAACATGTTCCTCCACAATATACATGCTTTCCATGTGACGCCACTCGAACAGAAATTGCGCTGCATTCGGAGAAAAGCTTTATCGCTATCAGCTGAAGTTCTAAGGTGGAAACCTTCGCGAGCCGATCTGAGAAAAAGTTATTTTGGAAAAAAAGGGAAAACAATCTCAAGTCCGCAGTTAATCCCACTTTTGTTATCAGGCAGGATCCTTTCAGAGGAGTGAAACTGGCCGAATTTCCGTTCCCAAAGGGGGAAAATCTAATATGAGAACGTCACCGATTTTTTTAACCGTTACACAGGTACAAAAAAAAGTTTTATTACAATTATTATTTAAAGTTAATACATAAGAAAAAGGGTGATGTTTTGTTCATAAAAAATCTGATGAGATAAATCCTTATATGACAAATCACCTGTCCTATGTACGTATACCCAACCTATTTCCGTACATTTTGTTTTTTAGTTAACAAATTCAGAATTTCCAAAACAAGTACACTTAATCTCTCTTGTAATCAGTACTATGGCGAATCTCTGAGAATCAATTGGAGAAAAGATGTCTGTGCAATTTGCTAATTGTGTTTAGCATCTAGCTTTAAGAGAGAGTCAAATCTCTCCTTGATATTAACCTGAAGATCTGCAGTTCCAAATCTCAAGATGATCCAAAATACACACTTTGTTTAACTCAAATTATAATTTAGTTTGATCTTTTCAGACCATTCCGGTCTGGCCATCGCTGGTTTGGTCTGTCAAATGCGTTCTGGTATTCTGCCTTCTTCAGCGACGGGTTTCTGCAATGATCGAGCATGATGTGCCTGAAAGGAGAATCTAGACATTTTGTTTATCTCAAATTTTAATTTAGTTTGATCTTTTCTAACCATTCCGGTCTGGCCATCGCTGGTTTGGTCTGTCAAATGCGTTCAGGTATTCTGCCTTCTTCAGCGACGGGTTTCTGCAATGATCGAACATGATGTGCCTAAAAGGAGAATCTAGTCATTTTGTTTATCTTAAATTTTAATTTAGTTTGATCTTTTCTGACCATTCCGGTCTGGCCATCGCTGGTTTAGTCTGTAAAACTCGTTTTGATATTTAGCAACTTTCAGTGATGGTTTTGTTCAAGTATGATATTGCTAAAAGGCAAATTTAGACATTTTGTTTAACTCAAGTTTTAATGTAGTCTGATCCTTCTGGCCTAACCATCACTGGTTTGGTCTGCCAGATGCGTACTGATATTGTGCCATCTTCAGTATGGGTTTGTGCATGATGTGCCTAAAAGGTGATTCTACACATTTTGCTTAACTCAAATTTTAATTTAAAAAAATCTATTTCCTCCTTTAATATAGTAAGCTCTTTGGCACAAAACAACAAATATAGAAGAATTGAAATTAAAAATTCTTGTAATTAAATTGATTTATATTATTTTAAAAGCAGACTGTATAAGACATTATCAATTCCATTTTTAAACAAATTATAACAACTAACTTTCAAAAATATTCTTTATGAAGCTAAAGCTTCTCAGTGCAAACTGACAAGACATCCGTTCAAAGAAATATATAATAAAGATCAATAAATGTATCTGCAGACAGGAAAAATATGTACTCTGAACCCAGGGAACGTAGAGACATGGTGTTCATGTCTTGTAATATTTTCATTAACTTAAAGAAACTGTTTTAATGTTTCAGGTCATCAAGCCTCACATACCTCTGATTAAGTTTCGAAAAGGACACGTGGACTCATGTCATACGACTCAGAGTAATTTTCCCAGTATTATTTTAATTTTAATAATTGCATGTTTGTTTAGTAATTAATATAGTAAGTAGCACGGCTGGTGTAAAAAAAAAAAAAAAAAAAAAAAAAAAAAAAAAAAAAAAAAAAAAAATTGATTTCGTATTAAGACTCTTAATGAGGCCAACGACTTATATAAATTTTTAAAACAACTCTTGTCTTGTAGCTCCACAACAGTCCTCCCAAGGAGTGAGTGCTGCGAAGCCTGCCAAGTCTACTTCTTATTCTCTTGAGGAGTACCAGCTACCAGCAAGATTTAGAAGACTTCCCTTGGACAATTATGAAATTGAAGCTATTAATGTAAGGAGAAAACTTGTTTTATTATAAAATATTTGTATTTGATACCTTTTTAAAGTCAAGAGTAACTCAACTCAACGTACTCAATTTACGTTTTATTAAACATGTTTGACTCGATCTTAATAATCTTTTGGGTGATACTAGGTTGAAACATATTAAACTCATGCCTGAGCATTCTTGCCAATGGGCCATATGAGCCAAGAAATGTAAGTGCATGTATTTCAAGGTTATTACATTTCTTGACTCTTGTTAATACAAAATTTAAAAAAAACAGTGTTAAAATGAACAATCTCTTGCTCTTTCCCGCCTTATCCAGGACCGGGCAAGAACACAGACAAGCTAGGTATTTGCATAAGACTATTGGCTAAGTACATTAGCCATATGCCCTTAACGCCAGGCTTCTCCCACCTTGAACTCTCGAAGGCAGGATTACCTATGATGCACAAGTCGATCCCTGGTATAGGAGAGCTGCGTTCGACCTACCACTTCCTCGATCCCATCTCCAAAAAATTTGAATTTCTTGATAATACAAACTTCTCAGCAGGTCACTTTGTTAAATCAAAAAAAAAATTTCCTTTTTATTACATTCGGCAATACAATATATTTTTCATAACAAGGGGAGAAAAGCATGCTATTAATCAAAATGGAGCCACTTCCCACCTTTATAATTTGCATGTTTTCTTTGTTATATTCCTCCAAATTTCAACTTGCTGGTTACTTCCTCCTACAGCCTAAAGTTTCTTCAAATTTTCTCTAGTTTGTCATATCCTGCATTCAGTTAGTTTGTCATATCCTGCATTCAGTTAGTTTGTCATATCCTGCATTCAGTTAGTTTGTCCATGTGTTCTCATCACTGGCCACTTCGGAAAATCATTTAAACAAAGGACACCAGGCCACATTGAAGCAAACACCACATTACGATTTTTTAAATAATGCATAACAATGTTCAATTTTACAGTTGATCTATTTCTGCTTTTTCATTATTTTTGCTATATTTTATATATGTAAAATTTCAGTAACAACTTGAAAAAATGCTTATCAACTCGTAACAATTTTTTTCCTCTTGATAATCCGAACATCTTCATAATTTGAATTATTATTGTGGTCCTTGAATTAACAAGATATAGTGTTTTGAATTAACAAGAGTCAATTGTACATGTCTTTTTTTATTTTAAACCTGGGATAATAATTTTTTTACCTTTGTTATCTAGTCATAGAATTCATATTGAAATACACAATTTTAGACCAATCAACTAGAACAAAGTAGGTTAAGATATTTGTTTAGCAAGAAACAAATTTTATACATATTAGTTTTCTGCACCCCGAAAACCCATTAACACAAATTTTTGGGAAAATCGAAAAATACATTTTTTTCTTACAAATTTTTCACCTTCCAAATGCCTCTGATTTTTATTCAAAAAACACAAATATGATGATAACTTTGAAACAACTCAACTATAGCAGGAAACATCACAGGGGTACATGTATACTACATATAATGGCACAAATGTCACCTCTAAATAAATTATAACAGGCGATATAAAATAAAATGTTTGAAGAGGTTTTGTTGATTTTATTGTTATTTTTCTCACTTATAATGACATAAAATCTAAACATTGTTGACATGTTGTAAAAGTAGAGAAATTCAGCTTTTCAATGGTTGTTGTAACGTTGAATTTAGATAAAATCCACAGGAGTTACGTAGTTTTAAGTTTGACCCCTGGACATCGGAGAAAGAAAATTGGCCCTGGGTGATCGACCTGAAAAATGTCAATTTTTTTGTTTGCTATAATTTTTTTAAAACTTTTTTTATATCTAATCTCATTTAATATTATCTTGCATCTTATTTGAAGTGTTTTTTATTAAATTATTATTTTTTATTAATTTTTATTTAAAGTGTGGATGAGATGAAAAATTAGAGTTACGAGCGGGAATCCAACCCTCGACCCTTGGCTCAATATGGCGGTGATCTAACCACTTGAGCAATCGTGACTCAGTCCCCCCGAGATACCAATTCTTCATCCCAGCCTACAATTTTTTCAAATTTCCCTCTTTTTGGCAAATATTCATATTCACCTGCATATTATTTTTTTACATAGGATAAGAAAATAATAAGCATGATCGTTTTAAATGAGATAAGATATGTAAAAAGTTACAAAATCAAAAAGAAGCTTTCAGTAAAGCATGCCAAAAAATATTTTTATTAAAAAATAATTCGGATTTGTTTCAGTCACCATTAAAAACCCTTAAATACTAATTTTCATCATAACAAACAAAATTTTGATTTGATTTTTCCCCCTGATGTCCGGTGTTCCACTAAAAAATCCAAAACATCTCTGTAATTTATCCAAATTCAGTGTTATTACAACTTTTTTTTGTCTTACTATTTCAGTATTGGCCACAGTTATTACAACTGTTACTTTGCAAAAACACGAACAGCATCAATCTAAGGGTTAAATTCATATCTATTGGAATGTAATACATACATGATTATTGTATGACCAAGTAGCAAAGCAGTTTTTTTTTTTATGATTGATGATGATTTTTGTTACAAAATTAAAAAATTGGTAATAACTTTGAAACTACATCGATCCATAATACTTAGCAGAGGTCGAAAAGTTTTATAATCACATTAATGGCACAAACTAGCATACCATACATAAATTAGAACTGGAAATATAATATGAAACATTTGAAGGTTTTTGTTCAGCTTTCCAATGGTTGTGCTAACACTCATTTTGGATAAAATCCAGAGGTGTTATTAATTTTTAACTAAAAAATAAACACTGGAAATAAGCAAAACAAAATTGCTCCTAACTGATTTAGCTCAAGTTTTGTTTGCTACAAAAATTTGTACTAAGGGCTTTGAAGGGTGCTTAAAATGAATCCCAATTGGTTTTTTGTTTTTAAAATATTTTTTTGACTTCTTTACTAAAAATGCCTCGGTTTTTGCAACTTTTTATTTATCTAAATCTCATTTAATACAATCGTCTATATTATTTTCTTATCCTAGGTTAAAAAAATTAACTGATATGTAATAACCTATATATGCACAACAATGCGTAAAACTATATTTTAAAAATTATGTAAATTACTGTGAATATTTTTATTTTCTCAGCTTCTAGAGCCCATTGGCAAGAATGCTCAGTAATTTTTTTTAAAGGCAAAAAACAAGCGAGGGCTATCTTTGTCTTTATGAAACAGTGTATGTGTATGTATGTATGTCTATACCAGATATTATTACTACTGTTAGAAAGTTTAATTTGCTATATAAGCTACTTTGCAAAAACACGAACAGCATTGATCTAAGGATTAAATGTTAAATTCATTTCTATTGGAATGTAATACATACATGATTATTATATATGTGTATGTGTGTGTGTGTGTTTGTGTCAACTCTGAGGAACTTGTAACTAACCAACCAGCCACCACTGCTGAACAGGGAGGACTCAGGGGCTCCTCTGTATTTGGCTTTACATTTTAATATGTATGACTTTATGGAGCCCCTCTTGGAGGGTGTGGATAAAAACTATTTACAATTAAACCATTATGAAAAAGTTCACATCCTCAGGTTTTGGCCCTGAGGTCCCTCTGTGACTCCTCCCCCAACCAGTAAAAGCACGCCAGCCCACTAGCCTGCATTTTTGTTACTTTTCTTATCTATGTGTTAATGTTGTGTTTTTGTTATATACGGTTCTATTGTTTTATTTTCTTCAAATATCCAATGACTTTGTGAAGGACAGGTGTCTATTTCACCAAAAAAAGTTTCATTAAAAACAGTTGATTATATAAGTAATAAAATAACAATGTACTTAAATTTTGCTATATTAAGTTAAAAAAGTTATATTCGGCTTTTCGTACTTTTGTGGGTGTTTGCTTGTGTCAAGTTAAAATGAAGTGGATTTGCATTGATTCTGTTTTAGCGCTTTTTTACAACTAAATGCACTTTTTTTATTAATTAGGACATATAGGGCATTCAACACCCTACACTAAATAACCTATTTAATATATTATGTATATAAAAAATTGTTAAAGAATAATGAAGATTATCAGAAGAAAACTTATGAGATAAAACATTTACAAGACAGCTCACAGCCTGAAAATTTTATAACACGCCTGGCCGACAAAACCAGTGAGAATAGGCCAACCAGGTCAACAGCAATAAAATTAAGCTAAAATATTTTCTTTTAAATTGTTTATTCAAATATCTTATGACTGAATTTGATTCAAACTAGCCACGATTATTAATCTTAATTTTGATGTTATCTTTTTGTATTTATGAATTAATATTTATTTGTTTCAGTCTGGAGGCCTTGTGTAAAAATGTCTTGTGCAATGTAGGAGGTTTGAATAGAGTTCCTTTAATTTATTGTATTATTATTTGTATCCAATAAATTAGTTATTATATATAACTTTGTTTTTTCATTTTCCATCTTTTTGACTACAAGGAAGCAATGCAAGTTGCAACAGTGTATTTTTCTTCTCAAATTTATATTTATTGGTTTACCTAAAAACTAGTAGTAACTCAACTAGTAAAATATTATGCTTAAAATGTTGAATGTTGAATATCAGACACAAAATTAAAGGTTTTGGTTAGGGTCAAGTTAGGTTAGGTAGGGTAAGGGTTAAAATACATACATCTTAACGCCTATTTTTTGTGTTTAGCTTGTATGAAGTATAATAGTACTTCATGTGTACTAAAATAAGGTATCTTTTTTCCTTTCTCCCTCCCACTAATACAATAAATTACGGTGAAAATCACAGCTATATCAATAAAAAAACTATTTTAACTATCAATTTATTCTTTGTATGTAAGGTCTTGGTCGAAATGAAAAAGTTAGTGTCACGAGTGAGAATGGAACCCACGACCTTCGGCTCAATACACCGCTGCTCTAACCACTTGAGCTATCGTGACTTCGATCCACTCGGACACCAAGTACCAACTCCCCATCTCAACCTACTACCTTTCGAATTTTCCTTCCTTTTTGCCATTTTTCGAAAATTCGAATGGTTGTAGGTTGAGATGGGTTGTTGGTGTCCAAGTGGATCGAAGTCATAGCTCAAGTGGTTAGAACAGCAGCGTATTGAGCCAACAGTCGTGGGTTCGTTTCCCGCTTGTGATACTAACTTTTTAATTTCGACCAAGACCTTACATACAAAGAATAATTAATTAAAAGAAGTAATTTAATCAATCTGACCACTAAACATAATGAATTTATTTTGACTATGTTGAATATCAGACACAAAACCATAGGTTAGGTAGGGTAAGGGTTAAAATATGTTATACATCTTTCCACCTTTTATTTGTCATTAGCTTGTGGGGGTGTAATAGTACTTCATGTGGACCCAAATATGGACTCTCTCTCTTGCTTCTTCCCTTTTTCCCTCTCACTCATATAGTAACAAATTATGAAAATTTCAACTATACCAATAAGAAAAGGATTTTGATTAGGTTGAATATCAGACACACAATCATAAGCTATGGTTAAGGTTAAGTTAGGGACAGGTTGTTAGGTTAGGGTTAAAATACATTTTTTTTAAATGGTTAACATGCATGTTAACACCTTTTTTTGTGTTTAGCTAGTATGAAGTATAATAGTACTTCATATGGACCGAAATATGGTCTCTCTCTTTCTCTCACTCATAGAATAAATTATGTTGAAAATAACAACATGAATAAGAAAGATCATTTTGGATATGTTAAATATCAGTCACAAAATGAAAGGTTATGTTTAGGGACAAGTTAGGTATGGAAAGGTTGTTAGGTTAGGGTTAAAATACATTTTTTTTAAATGGTTAACATACATGTTAACACCTTTTTTTGTGCTTAGCTAGTATGAAGTACAATAGTACTTCATATGGACCGAAATATGGTCTCTCACTCATAGAATAAATTATGTTGAAAATAACAACATGAATAAGAAAAATATTTTGGATATGTTGAATATCAGTTACAAAATGAAAGGTTATGTTTAGGGCCAATTAGGTATGGACAGGTTGTTAGGTTAGGGAAGGTTAGGGTTAAAATAATTTTTTTTTAAACGGTTAATATACATGTTAACATCTTTTTTTGTGCTTAGCTAGTATGAAGTATAATAGTACTTCATATGGACCGAAATATGGTCTCTCACTCATAGAATAAATTATGTTGAAAATAACAACCTGATTAAGAACAATATGTTGAATGCAACAATATGTTGGATATGTTGAATATCATTCACAAAATGAAAGGTTATGTTTAGGGCCAAGTTAGGTATGGACAGGTTGTTAGGTTAGGTAAGGAAGGTTAGGGTTAAAATGCATTTTTTTTAAATGGAAGTACAATAGTACTTCATATAGACCAAAATATGGTCTCTCACTCATAGAATAAATTATGTTGAAAATAACAACATGAATAAGAAAAATATTTTGGATATGTTGAATATCAGTCACAAAATGAAAGGTTACGTTTAGGGCCAAGTTAGGTATGGACAGGTTGTTAGGTTAGGGTTAAAATACATTTTTTTAAATGGTTAACATACATGTTAACACCTTTTTTTGTGCTTAGCTTGTATGAAGTATAATAGTACTTCATATGGACCGAAATATGGTCTCTCATTCAAAATGAAAGGTTATGCTTAGGGCCAAGTTAAGTATGGACAGGTTGTTAGGTCAGGTAGTGTTTGAGTTATATGTTATAAATCTTTCCACCTATACTTTGTGTTTTGCTTGTATTGAGTGTAATAGTACTCCCTATGAAACCAAATATTTTTCTCTTCCTTCCTCCCTATCTCTCTCGCACTCATACAATAACATTATAAATCACAACTACACCATTAGAACACAATTTTTGACTGTGGAGAATATCAGCCATGAAATCATCCAAATTGGGCACAATTGGTTTGATTTGACATTAATATATAAAAACTTAAAAGTGCATAATTTTAATACCGATATATATTTAGGTTAAGTTCACAAATTCCTTTCACATTGCCGGGTAGTGCACACGGGTTGAGTCAGGTTAAATCAGGCTAGGTTAAAATTCGAAACTATTCATTTTTAGAATTTGTTATTTTAATCAAACTCCCTGAAAAATTAAAAAATATATAAAGCCAATGTTATAGTAAAATACAAAATCTCAAGGTATTGCAATATTTTTGACAAGGGGTGTTGGTAAGATTGACAATACACGGCTGTGCTCAATAACTTGCAAACTATGCAATAAAACCTTGGTTCATCCTTGTATCAATAAAATTTAACAGATGCATGAAGGGAACAGTTATTAATAATTTTGTAACGCATACAGAAATAAAAGGCACACATTACTTACACTCTTTAATCCACTTTAGTGATTTCTTAAAGCCTACTGTTTAAAAAAACTAACAACTATACATTCCTATCTGCAACATTGCGTAAAAAAACATAAAACATCTTTATCGTTTTTAAATAGTATGAATACAACTGGAACTCTGTAATAAAAATAATACACAAGCCCTAAAAAAGAATCTATTTTTACTAAAAACAAATATACACAAATATAGTATACTTTATTAGATATACATCTGAAAATGAGCAAGGCTTTGTTTATATATTATTTAATTTCATCTATTATAGAAACTAAAATATCTTCAAAGATTCTAAAGATTTTAATGCAATTTTTAGTACTTAATGAGCAATAATAATTATGCGTCAAATTACAAACAACTAAGATTACAATATTGAAGTATTTATGTGACAATATAAATTTATATTTTTACAAAAATAAACGAGATCTCAGTTCTATTTAACAACAATGATTTTTTTTTTTTTTTGTAAACACTGTACTGTAAATTAAAATGGATGTGACCAAAATTTTTGACTTTAATGTCATGGCTTGTTAATCACATTGAGTATTTACATTACTTCCTTAATTAAAGATTACACTGAAAATTATCTCTTAGATCACAGTCAAGTTTTAAAAAATAAATTTTCAAAGAATATGTAAAACAAACTTTACCTTGGCAAACTCCTTTGGAATATATAAATCTAAAATAAACAAAATATACAATTTACAAGATTATTTTACATTTCCTTTTGTTTTTATTTATTTATTTTTTAACATGAAAGAATGTGAAAGTTTGTAAAATTATATACAATTTCATCTAAAATCATTTACATTTTCGACATATTTACATTAAGAGACCCTTTATGGTAGACATTTAAGAGTATCTATTAGCAGGATTTTTGAAAAATTATTTTACTTATAGAAAAAATCTATTAATTAAGTTTTCATTTCAGCACACATCCGACCAAATTCCTTTGTCAAATATGTCTCGACCTATGAATTTTATGAATTAAATAACCAGAAAAGAGATTTCATTTTAAAATGTTTTTTCTTTTCCCTAAAACAATGAAGACACATTTTAAAACAAAAATAAAAACGATAAAAAAAAGATAGTTCCTGGTCATATAGTCAACGATTATAAATTTTCAATTCCTATTATAAACTTTCCCATTTTACTTTCATCGTGATAATTATAATTAAATTTATCTATATATAATGTTGTAACAATAAGATTTAAATGATTTAAAAAATTTAAAAAACTTTTTTACAACACTTAGGTTGTAACAAAACAGCAGAGACATGGGAACCAGCCATGCTGATATAAATAATATATCACAAGATATTTCATTTGATTTCTTCATTAAAATTTAACAGTATAACAATAAATAACAGGTGGTGGTTCTGTATTGTCAGATTTTAAATAGGGAATGATGTAGAAAACATGTAAAGTTTCAAATAAACCTAGTTCACGTTTTCTTATGCCGACCTACATGTGCATGAAACACATCGTTCGCACTTTTAATATGCTTCAAAGATCAATAATAATTCTATATATAAGTTTTTTTAACTTTTTGCAACGTTTTATTATTATCGGAAGTTGTGTTGGCAATCTTGTCATTGGCATTTTTTGGAGGGACATTCACAAGCAGGTTTATCGACTTGTTGTTCACACACGGTGATAAATACGATGCGCCTTCTCCATTCATATTGCTAAAAAAAAAGCAAAAAAAAAAGCATTAAACAATAAAATAATCAACCAATTATTTTGGAGAGAGTTGTTATTTCACACAGAGGACATTCTCTGTCTGAAATAACAATAACCATTTGATCTAACATTATTATTTTATACCTGTTATGTTGGTGAAGGGGCATATTCGTATAAGCGTTGTCTGGACGAAAATGACGGGAACAGAAATATCCAGCAACAAATCCGATAACCAGAGTTGCCAGTACAGAAGTAGTTACGACCATTCCTAATGTGTCAGCTGTGTATATGACTATCTTTTCTTGTCCTCCGATGCCATTTTCTCCTTGAATGTTTCCAAATGTCAAAATATGTATATAAATTAAAAAAAAAAAATGTGCTTACCAGCACAGGGACTTGGATTACAAATAGAGCACTTCGGGCAATTGAATAAATCAATATTCCTTCCTTCCTCTGAAATAAAAACAATAATAAGGTAAAGGGGTAACAAGATAACAACACATTAAAATACGTTATAATCTTTTCACCAATTTTTTGTTTTGCTTTGTATGAAGTATATTAATAATTGACTCATGTGGACCCAAAATGGGGTCTCTCTCTATCTCTCTCTCTCTTTTTCTCTCATTCATGTAATGATAGCTAAAAATCACAACTGTACCAATAGGGACAAGATTTCGACTATGGAGAATGACAGTAACACTGTCATAGGTTATGGTAGGGATGATAATTTAACTTAGGTTAGGTAGGGTTATTGTTAAAGTATATTTTAAATTTTTTCACCTATTCTTTGTATTTACCTTGTATGAAGTATAATAGTTACTTCATGTGGACCCAAAGATCGATGGTCCTTCTTTCTCTTTTCTTTCCTTTCTTACCATTTTGTCTATATTGAATATAAGCCACAAAATCATAGGTTAGGGTTAGGCACAAAGTTAGGTAAGGAACAGAGGTTGTTAGTAAGGTAGGGTAGAGACAAGTTAGTAATAAAATTTATTGTAAACCTGTCCACCTATTCTTCGCGTTATACTTTGTATGAAGTATAAAATACTTCACACAAAATACTTCAGTGGATCGAAATATGGTCTCACTCTCTCCCTTTCTCTATCTCTATCTTAATAGATCTATCCATCCATCTATCTATGCTATATCTCTTTCTCACACTCTTGTAATTAAAAATTATAGTTAAAAATTACAACTGTAGCAATACGAACAAGATTTTGAATATGGAGAATATAAGCAACAAAATCATAGGTTAGGATAAGAGAAAAGTTAGGTTAGAACAGGTTGCTAGGTTATGTAGGGTTAGGTTTAAAATATATTTTAAATCTTTCCACCTATTCTTTCTGTTTTACTATCTCTTTATTACACTCGTGTAATAACAAATTACAGTAAAAATCACAACTATACCAATAAGGTTTTGGTTGAGATAAAAAGTCAGTGTCACAAGCGGGATTCGAATCCACGACCTTCGGCTCAATGCGCCGCTGCTCTACCACTTGAGCTATCGTGACTTCGATCCACTCGGACACTAACTTCCCATCTCAACCCCACCTTTTTGAATTTTCCCTCCTTTTTGCCATTTTTCCAATGTCGTGAAATCTATTTGATTCTAGGCGACAAATGAAATGGCCACGGAGAGCTTTAGTGAAGTATACTTAATTTTGCTTATTGCATTTGACCAAATAAAATATATATCAACCAAAACCGTAAGTAAAGATTAGTTAATTGAAAAGAATTTATTTGGTCAAGTGGACCACGAAATCTAATAAATATACCAATAAGAACAAAATTTTGGCTATGATAGGTTATGGCATTAGGGACAAGTAAGTTAAGTCAGATTAGGTACGGTTAGGGTTAGAGACAACTTAGTAGTAAAACGATGTACAAGTCTTATGAATGAAGCGTATGGCCTGATAAAAATATATTATATTTCATTTGTACTTATTACAATCTCACTTGATCCAGATACATTTTGAATATTTTTGTTATCATCTAATTATTAATATAATTATTGTTAAATTTAAAACTCACCAGTAACCTCTTTCTCTGCAGGGCTTGCTGCTATACCAGTTTTCACTTGGCCTGAAATATTACATTAAACTTAATATTGAGAAGTTAGTTAACTTGCACTTTTTTTTTAAATTATGCTTTTGTATTAATATACTTTTTATTTTATTTTTTCACACAAGCTACTTGATGAAGTAATTGGAAAACAAAGACAAATAAACAATGTAATATCGACTTTGAAGTGAAATCAAAGGGTCAAGTGTTCATAAATAAATCATTCCTACACATACCAGTCAAATGAATGATCTCTGCTATCTAATTTACATGATTTTGTGATCATATTATAAATTAATTTATTCTTGTAATAATATAACTTTTTTTAAATAAAAATAAAAACTGTGTAGTGCGTATTCTTTGTCTTCAGGATTCCTCTATACGAATTATAGTCATACTGTTATAACAATACGATAGAGTATTAATTATAGTACAAGAAAAAAATCTTAAAAAATATAAATTATTGTTGTTATTTGGCCTTACCCGGTGGTTGACAAGAAATATGAGATCCCCTTTCGATATTCTGTAAGAAATTCTTCTTGTTTCCAGCAAATTCTCCATGGGCTACGCAAGAATTTGATAGAGAGTCCCAAGCACAGTATGGGTCCTGAATCGCCACACATTCTCTGCAAAAACAGGACAAAAAAATTAAAAAAATGATACGACAAAATAGTTCTTATGAATTTAATTTTTGATTTCTCACCTGCATGAATTTATGTTTGTACATCTATACAATGGAATTGTATGGACAACATCATTAGTTATTATCAGAAGTTTAGGAGGCTTGTCTGGAACCCTTGTGATTGAAAGTGATTTGATGGCAGAATTAATTCCATTTATTTGTATTTCTTCTGTAAAGAAAGCTTTGCTTTCTTCCGGTTTGCTCTTTTTAATGTAATTGACTGCTTTTATGATTTTACCATCATCTAACAAAAAAGATAAAATAAATAATAAAAAACTTTTATGTTTACATTTGGTATAAATTCACAAATATTAAAAAAATAAAAATGTATATAATACTGTCTGACTACATACCAGTCCCAATATAAAGAACATCCATTGGTTCTCCAGTTATTGTTTTAACCTGCGGGTCGACCGTTATAGCGGTAAAACGATTTCTGAAAAGAAAATTATCGTTTATAAGAAAATCAGAAAGATTTAAAACATTACAAAAATATGTTCAAGTACTAACTGCAAATTTCCAAAGGAAAACTTGAGTTGGAAAGAAACAAAATACTGTTAGCAGATTAATACAAATGGATAGGGTGTAACAAAAATCAATGCTTCGACATGCATTATTGAAAAAATGTTATGTTTATTTATTGTTACGCTAAGGAACTTTTTAATATTTGAAGGGAAGAAAACTAAGAGAGATCAAAAGACAAAGAACAAGTGGAAGGTGTGAAAGAGTGCGATTTATTTCTTAGAATTTACTCTTTTTTTTAGTTTTAACACTTTTAAACAGTAAAAATAATATTTGATAAATATACATCATCTAGTGTTAGCACATGAAATAATTGCAATTCTAAGCCAACAGCATAATATTTTCTCTTTAAAAAAAGCTCAGTTTAACATAAATTAATGTACAGACTACAAATTTAATAATAATGATGTTATTAAAAACATCAGATTTATATAGAGGGGAAAACAGAAATGTATAAATAAAGGAAATGATATAGAAACACCACAGATATTAGGTTATAAAATATATATTAATAGGTATTAAATGCTTACCTTAAACTAATTCTTACTAGAAGCGGTTCGGCAAATGAAGGGACTGCTTGATCCATCAAAGGATGAGTTTTTACAAAGTTGACGGAAACATCAGGCAGCGTCCTGCTGTCATTGACACACTGGCCAGGCCTTGGTACAGGTACCTACATACATATTAAGATAAATTAGATTAATAATTTAAATGTAGTGAAGTGAATTCAAATACAAATAGGAACAACAATGAGGAAGAATTTTTGAGTAGTGAAGATTGCAATCAATACTGCCCACCGAAATATTTGAAGAAGAAACACAAGAAGAAAAAAATCTTTCCTACGTTCTCATTTGATAAAAGTATTTCCTCTAATTACAACATAATTTTCTACGAGTAAATTGTACAAAGGTATTTTGAAATTTATAAATGATTACCCGTGATGGAGATACACGGAGCCAATTCGAGTTCATGCTTTCCTGCTCCTTGAAAGGGCCGTTGAACGTCTCCATGATCGAATCTACAGAAAATGCACAAATCGCAGACCCGCCGATAGAATTTATTGGAGTCGTGAATACGCCGTAAATAAGTTTAACTTGTTTCGACCCATAAACCCCTTCGATGATGTCACTTGTAGATTCTAGAATAAGAAAGAAATGCACAAGTTTAAATCCAACGTTACATTTATAAGTATATATAAACATAGGGGAAGAAAACGTACGTATTTCATTGAAATAAAATGGATAATCTCCTGGGATTGAGCAGTTCAGTCTTGCTTTGGTAAAGGAGGTCCACCTATTACCAAAAAGATGGGGTGCACCTTTGTCTTTTTTGCATACCCTTCCCACTCGTGAATAAATTACCTGTTTTTAAAAATGTAAAATATTTGTTAATTGATTCACAAGTGTAAATAAAAACATTATTAAATTATATAAATAAGGTTGGATACACAGTAGGAAGTTTGGCAATAGTTCAAAGGCTTTTGGACTGGAGTGACTGGATGCTTCAGAGGTTGAAGTTGCAAGTCTTTTGCCTATGTTAAGTCCCAAATAGCAGACGGCATAGGATGTTGGGAGAGGAAACAAAGTTGTAAAGGGGCGAAGTGTAAAGTTTGCTGGGATTTGGTTGAGTCTGATCTGTTTCTTGAACAATTCTTCACATGACAGACTGACTTGTAGGTTCTGAAGGCCACAACTAGGTCTGAGGGTTTGCTGAAAGGATGATGGTTTATAGTGAATATAGGATAGAATCAAGGATGCTTTGACATAGTTGTAAATTACTTATTAATGAAAATAAAGCATCCAAAGATGGAATATTTTAGTATTTCAGGAGGAATTTTCCAATGATTTTTCTAAGTAATGGCAGCAAACTGATCATGCGATAATACGTATGGTGATGCTGAGATTTTTGAAGTTTGGGAATGGGTTTTGACTGACAATTTCCAGTGAGTTGAAGTAGGTAGTTCTAAGAACTGAGTTGTAAATGTCGCTTAGGAAAATTATAGGTTTTTATGGAATATTTTGGAAAATGTTTGAGAAGGTACTCAAGTAAATTTTGTTGTTCAATTTTTCCCCACATTAAATTTTTTTACATTATGTACCAAATATTTCACTATTTTATATAATAAAAATCAAAATAAAATTTGAACTGGTGATAAGAAAAAAATTCAATGGCCTAATATTGTCATAGATTTGCTTTACCTTTCCACAGTTAATATATTCGACAGCAGCTTCTCGGAAGAAGAAAAATACATAATCTTGGTAGCTCATGGAGCTTACAAAGCTCGCATCTATAAAATAATAGATACACATCATTAAAAATTAACACTTATAGACTATGATGAAAAATAAATAACAAATATCAAGTATTACCATTGAGCTGCTTTAGATCTGATCTCTCTGTAGACAAAGGATCCCTATATATAAAAGATTCAACTCCTCCAAAATCTACTACAGTAGCAGTGTAAACGTGTCCGTCTATAAAATTTGAATGTTATTGATAAAATTTCCTCTTAAAATAATTGACAGAAAAATTTTAAATACCTGTATAAAGGGCAGTGCTGTTATGATTGGGATCGTACGGACACCAGCCATGACCTTCGCTCTCGTTGACAACTTTCATAACATTCTCCTGTAAAACGTGACAAATTATAAAACTATATTACGGATTTAAACTGCGAGATTGAAACACCTACACTTAATTTATAATGCCTGCACAAAGGTTTGTAAGCATTTGTACCACATATTAAAAAGTGATCTTCATCTAATTTGGCTCCTACTCGGATATAATTTTGGCAGTCTTCCTGCAATTAGAGAACAGGGCATTTAATATATTTTGACATGATACGGATATGAGGAAAATAAAAGGACAATTTTTACTTCAGTTTTGCCTTTTAGGTAGCACAGTTCCCTGTGGGCACCTGTAGGATTCCATACTATCCTCTAAAAACAATAAAACAAAGTTAGAGTTTCATCTAATATAATATACATTTATTTATTATATATTTATTTAAATATTCATTTTTTCCATGTGTGACGATAATTACCTGCTTAGTATTTTCTAAGAGGTTTTCAATACTGATGTTATACACAGCATTTCTGTAAAAATCAAAATTACTTTCTTTCATACTAGATTAACTTCGACACTTGTTGCATGCTTTGCTGCATAAATTTTGAATCAAAACATGCAAAGACAGACAAAAATATTATTTACCTTGAGCCAATTAAAACACTGTGATAATCCGTTTCAAGCAACTTGAAAAAGTCTGTGAAACTGTCATTCCCTTTGAACTTGTGGATTTGGTTTTCATCTAGAAGAAATAAAGTCTGTCAACTGGTATCAAAGCAATAAAAATATGTTTAACCATTTTTTTAATTAGAGCAAATTTTAAAAGGAAGACTTTGGAAAGTGAGGTAAGCTTGTTTTGAAGTACATTTATTTATTGTTTAACAAAAAAGGTCATATGGTATGTTTGCCACGCCTGGAAGTATAGATACCATATAGTCCAGGAATTTAATTTTCAATTTTGTAAACACCTTTCCTTCATTAAATACCACAATCATAAAAAAAAGTTAATGATCTGGACGAAAAACTCATTACTTTTCTGTGTACTTATTTCAATTCTTTTTATGATCTACACTAATGCTCGTATATCCAGAGTTTTATGTTTAATTTTCAATTTCCAATTATGTGTTACAATTTTCAACATTCTCTGACGACAGACGGATTTAATTCCATGTTTATATACTTTTATACACATGAATCATGATGTACACAAAATTGTAAAATAATGTATTTCTATCTATCTATTTTTTCTATCTAAAAAGAAAAACCCAAGTAGCCTGTGCAAATGTTTGCACTTGTCCAATATAAAATCTTTATCAAGCTGTATTGTTTTGAAATATTTATACTACTTATTATTTTATCTATGTGCTACACTTGAGCAAATAGGTCGAGAGATTGCTATTTTTCCTTAACATGTTCTCATTAATCAGTGTTTCAAAGACCTCGTAAATAATAATTCAATATAAATAAGCTGACAAGATGATGATGATGAGGATACAGTTCCAGGATGCAGAATGTTTGCTTATTCATTACCCAAAATAGCTTTGTGCCTTGGCATCCAAGATATCATGAGGTTTTGGAGATTTTGGATGCATTCACAGACTTTTTTTTAAATTTTATGTACTAAGATCCGCTCGGCTGTATGTTCTTATAAGGATTTTGTTGTCACAGTAAAGTGAGATATCTTACCAAATCTTATTCATATATTATTAAATTATTATCTTATTTATTTGACTTTATTAATTACATCAAAATTTTTTTTATGTGTAATTGTTCACGATAATTTATCAACATGAGAGGAAATCAGGAGTAGTGTGGGTAAATTTTTGTACTTGTTTTTGAAGTATCGTATGAAAAAGATCTTTTCTGTTAAGTACTGTATCATTCTGACCTTGAAAATCTTTTATATTATTGTTTAATGTGTGATTTTCAAAAAATAATGCTTTAAATTTTCTATTTACAAAATAATCAAACCTGTACCTAAAGGGGAAAATGTTCAGTGTGGAAAAAATTATGTAACACATTTCTCAAAATGGAAAAAAAAGTATATTATATAAGGAGACACGGTTTACATTTCAATAATAATTAATGAAATGTTTGGCATGGAAAAAATGAATTTTAATAATTGTTCAAGGTTTGCAATATACTGTCGGAACAATGCATGCAAATTTTAATAAATTATGATTACTAAGCATTAATGTATGTGAAACATTTGTACTGCATAGAAACAGTTTTCAAATTAACAGCGGCTGCCAAATTGAACTGGCATATGTGCCACACGTCTTCGTTCAAACGCACCTCAAGAATATTGATGAAGATTCGAACAATTTATTTGATAAGTTGGCAGAGAGTACAAGATAAACAATATGCGTATATTCCCCAAGGTCCTTTAAGGAATTTAAATGTGATGTGAGGCGACATGAATCTCAAATAAAGCACAGTGGGTGAATAAAACACACTCAACTTTCTAATCCCACATAATTGGTAGATGTATTGAAATATGAGCAAGATAATTGCATAGTAAACACTCTCTTCCTTTCTTTCTCTTTATCAGCCTTTCTTTTATTTCTCTCTATCTTGTTATATATGTCTTTTTGTATATTTTCTCTCTTAATGCTGCTCACCCTACCATGTATTTATACTTATTATTGAGTAATTTATGTACATAAATATAGGAGTAAATTTGACACTGAAAATAATGTAAAAAATATTCTACTCTTAAAACTTTAAAATTATATGTTCCAAATACTAGTGACACAGTCAGAAAATTATACAAATCACTGGATGCCCAAATTTTACAATTGTTTGCCCAAAACCTGTCTTTTATTTATTTAAAAAAAAAATTAATGTGATGGTATCGCAGGCTTTTATGTCTGTCAATGAATTTTGTAAATTTGATTTTCCAATACCAAAACCTTGCTGTATACAACAACAAATACTATTCCATTCTATTCTCTCTTTCTCTATGTTTTTCTTTCCCTCTATATCTCTATATGTATCCATCTATACTCTTTCTCTACCAGTGAGGTGCATCTTAAAAACATATATAAATAAAACAATAATAAAAAAATTAAATTAAAAATGTAACATTGTAAAACAATAATCTGTATTATATTTATAATTGAAGCATGTGAAAATACAAAAGAAGCACTCTCTCTCTCTCCCTCTCTCTTATTCTTTTTCTTCCTTTCTTCTATTCTCTTTCTTTCTCTTTGCCCTTTCTCAGACCACACACACGCACGCACGCACGCACGCACGCACGCACACACACACACACACTCTCTCTCTCTCTCTCTCTCTCTCTCTCTCTCTCTTTCATTCTTTTTCTTCCTTTCTTATATTCTCTTTCTTTCCATATCTTTGTCTTTCTCTATCTTTTTNCTCTCTCTCTCTCTCTCTCTCTCTCTCTCTCTCTCTCTCTCTCTCTCTCTCTCTCTCTCTCCCCCTCTTCTCGTCGTTGGATGTAGAGTGGTCAAATGAGACTAAATTGGGCGACTATGACTATGAATGCCTTTTTCATTCATTGAATCTCTCTTCCTCACTCGCTCCTTTGTTTTACTTTATATATTTCTTGATTGTATTTCCATTTGAGATAATTCGTTGTTTTACGTAAGGATAAAAAAGAATTATCTTAAAAAGAAGACTGAACGATTCCTCCATCGGATATTACGAGCCTCCAGATACAAGTATTGAATTTTAATAGCCTCATATGTGCAAAGCGTTAAAAACCTACATTATTATACAAGTCAGAATCTGTTGAAAAACTGTATAAGCTTCCAACGGACATATCTGTATTGGTGGCGTTAGAATTGACATCAACTACTGGCTTGTGAGGAGTCAAGGTGAGCGTAGTCATCAACGCGCTTGAGTCACAATTCGTTTTTATGACAACCAGGAACGAAATGATAATGTTGAGACAAGGGGAGTAATTTACCATGCCGTCAAATTTGATATGGCTACAGGTGACAACTGTGTCTTGGCCGGAATGCCCGTCAAAACTGTAATAGTATGTTTTTAAAAAAATCGTGAAAATTTTTGATAAATTTGATTATTTTGTTCAAATAGGATAATTACCGCCTTTTGTCGTACATTGCAAAAAGAACGTCCGAATAAAGAATTCGTGATTCTTCTTCGGCACTTGGTAAAAAGTGCGTAGGCGGCTGAAGAAATCTGTGCACTGGAAGGAGAAAGGGTGTCGTAACACGTTTCGGTTTAGATGTTTCAAACTGTGAACGCAAGGCGTTTTAAGACGAACCTCAGGTTCAGTGGTCGTATGTTACCACGATTCGCCACAATATTGGCTAACAATTCAAATGCCACCCTACGAAAGCCCCGGCCAAGATTGGTTCGTCGTGATTTGCCAGAGACGGAAAACTTTGAGGACGAAATACCGATAAGTTATTACTTTATTTTAACTTAAAATTAGCTTCGTTAGGGTAGAAGAAATTTTAAAATCAAAATATATGATTTTGATCTTTTAGGGAAGGAATGTCGAAACCCTCTGAAGTCTGAGACAATTCAAAATTCCCTGAACAGGAAAGAGTTACTCACCTTGCTTTTGTCGCCCTGTCCTCATGCCATCTGACTGTCTTTTCCGGCTAATGGTGCATTTTTTAAGGAGAGACTTAGGTGCGTCAGCGAGAAAGTAAAATTCAAAAACTGAAGTAGTATGGCTTTTTGACAAGAAATTCAAGGCAAAAGGAAAGAAAACTATGGTTTATATTTTTATGAGTAAAATTTATGTTATTTCTATATTATTTATATTAAAACCTCTTTGTTTTTAGGCACAAGTTTTTTTTAACATCCTAGCATTACACCCAACAAGTTGTATAAAGTACAAAAGGCGAATATCATAGAATTTGCTTTACAACTTAACTACTAATATTTTTCTAGGGTTGAATAGTACAAACGTGATTTTGAAAAGTTCTTCAATCTTCAATCTTGATGCATCTTAACAAAGAGCCTCTTTGAATTTAGGACAGCTAGAGGACAGTTCATTTTCATGGTTGCGTGACATTTTGTCGTATTAAACTTTACAACCTTACAATATTTTACTAAAGCTTTACTAAGCTAAATAATTAAAGGGTATTAAAATTTGTCAAAATATGCGGATTGAAAGTCAGTTCACCATGTCAAAGATCCAACACCGTAAAAAGACACTTGTACAAGGATTTACTTATTAGGTTTATTGCAGTGATGTAAATTTTTCATCATATTTACCACTTTATATTGGTTTAATTATATGAACTGTGGAGAAGACCGAAGTTTTATTAGTTATATAAGGTCGGGGGAACGATTACCATTAATTGGACAATATTAACCCTTTCTTCGTTCGACAAGGACTCCGACTTCTCTCTGGGTTTGGGAGTACGGCAAGGAATTGTGCTTGGACTAATTGTATTTCTCCTTTATACTGAAGAAGTCCAGATTACACTTTGATTACACCCCGTTCTTACAATTGCTTCGGAAACCTTCAGAGATATCGTGTATGGACAATGGAAAATGAACATCAATGAAACCAAGTTCGTGTCCAATTTACCGATACCTATGGGCTTCCAATGTGGGGATTCCACGTCAGACGTTTGTCGATGTACGGTACCGCACCTTGTCCGTAGTTAGGAGGGGTATATTACTGAAGTACACAGAATGAGGGTCGCAAGAGTATGCGTTAAATATTATTTTCTTTTCACACCGAGATTCCATGGTTTTTAGTGAATCGACAGAGAGTTGCTTGCGAGTATCGCCTATCGTCTACAAAGTCAGGGGGGTTTGATGCCGAGATAGGTTGTTAGCAATAAAATAACAAAAATATTGGTCATGATATTCTTGAACAAATCTTTTAATAAGGTGAGAGCGTTGACGCTAAAAATGAGGCTACTTGATTATGTGCTACAATGCCTGCTGTCACAGCTGCAGTGGGCGATACTGCGCAAGATCTTCATATCCCTTTTAATGTATTATGCCAGTTGGCCTCCCCTGCTAGCAGATTATTCGGCAAGGCCTGATAGGATGTAGGAACGAGGTACTGCTGTATTCCTCATCCAGAGTGAGGTCCAGCGATGCCAGCTTAGCGAGATGTTTTAATGAACTGTCGGCGTTGATGCTCAAAGCTTGAGTATAATTTACAATTAATTAAGGTTTTTAGTTGAGATGATGAGATGGGGTTGAGATGGCGAGTTGATGTCCGAGTGGATCGAGGTCACTATAGCTCAGGTGGTAGAGCAGCGGCGTATCTAGCCGAAGGTCGTGGGTTCGAATCCCTCTCGTGCCATTAACTTTTTTTTTATCTCAACTAAAAACCTAAATTAATTGTAAAGTATTAATTGGTCAAGCGGACCACGAAAATAGTGAACTTGAGTATAATGCTCCAATGTTTGAAGCCAACGTCTGGAAACAGCTGCAGTTGGGATCGGCCACAATGCCAAAGCGGTCTAAGTAGACTACATTCTTTCTTTTATATGTTTGGTTAAAAAGAAATTAAACCTTCCTCTTAGGCTGGTGATACTAGGGAAGAACTTCGGCGGATCCTTTCGAAGTAGCGTTTAGCGAAATTGTCAGCAGCAAGAGAATGTCTCCTACATGGGCTCGTATCCAGCTAAAGAAAGCCTGTATGCTCGATTCCGATTGTGAATTCTCTAGTTATGACAATCTTTTAGATTACTCGTCTATCAGTGAAGATCATAACGTCCCTTGTATTTTTGTCTGTGGTAGCGCCTTCAGCCCATTCCAGAACCTTAACCAAGGCTTGTTCGAACAGCAGCTTTGCAATCAATGTGCCTTCTGCTTATCGTGTACTTACCGAAACTCAGGCATCATCGGCTGAAGACCCCCTCCCGACAATGGAAGTTCTCGGTGGCTGTCTTCTGTTCAAGACGCTAAAGAAGCAGACCTTTGTGGCACATCCAAATTAAACAGAAAATCATTCCTTTTTTATACTATTAAGGCGGTGATCTTTTTCTTTTTTTGGTTTATGTCATTTGTTTTCAAGTAGGTTTTTTTTTAATAAATTTTTTTTTTCGTGCTAGAGCGTGTGAAAAGATCCATTTTTGTAAGTGTTCTCTTCCTTTTGTTTTGTCAATTGGTTATTTAATTTTATTCCAATATTGCGTCATTATGCAAAATTTACCTTGGTTGAATTGGGTTTAAAGACAATTTATTTAGACAATTTAAAGACAGGTTAAAGAAGGGGACCACTATCAAGTTATACTGGTTTCTCTCTTGTACACCATCTTCAGATAGTCGCTTTCTTTTTTCCCTACACCTCGAAAAGTGTGGTGGCTATAACGCTGCCCTGAGAAACACCAGCAAAGATAAATTTGGGGAAATCACTTTCAATGACCCCAAAATTCCCAACACCTGCCTTTTATACGTTCTGACATAAAATCTACTCGTAATTCAAATGAGAACTACCATGCAATTTGTATTTATGTTAACTTGTTATTCAAAAATGATTGTACGAAACTGAATTGGCCTTTTTTTTCTTTTCTGGGATGAGCTTCAATATAACATGCTTCGATCTCAGGAGTCGGAACGCCCAAAATCCTTCTCCCAGTTGCTTCGACATACTTAATTTGCGAGGCCGTACCCGAAAGAAGCGCAGCGTTTCTTTTCCATTGTGTAACCCAGTGCCAACGAACTATCCCAGTCACCTCCTTCCATTGTCTCGATAAAAAAAAGTCAAAAAGTCAGACTCACTGTAAGTCGTGTACATTCGAGGATCCAGGTTTTGCACCCACGAGAAGACGTACGGGACACAGACACAAAAACAAGCCAGCATGAGATTCATCGCCATCTTTACCACCAGACACCTAGAAAAGAAATATTCACATTACACAACACAATAAATTATGCTTAGATTAAAATTAATAATTAGTTCCTGCAATTTTCTTTTGTTACTAGGTGGCATAGAAGGAATTTAATACACCGGTGAATAATATAATACAGCTTACGTCTCACAGGTGCTGCCATTTTCAATTCTCGTGAAAGGTTTAAAAGTGCACCTTACATAACTGTTTCAATAGCAAGCCGTGCCGACATCGTCACAGAATATATTTCTAACGAGAAAAATATATTTCGAAACGAACATATTATGAAAGGATTTTATTACTTGTTTTATTACTGGGGGTGAGGGTGGACGTAGAGTCAATTTCGTCCAAAAAGTACAAATAATTAATTGCGTACGTTTTTCAATTAAACAATGCACACATCTGCATCATAGTAAAGATCTTGGCGTTTTTATTTTCCACGAACAGCTACATTATCACGATTTTCCTCCTGTTTTTAGTCTCCACTATTTACCCCCTATGAATATAGCACTGTAGTATCCACCATATGCCTTATTTCATTTATTTGGTCCTGAATTTAATAAAAGATAGATTAAAGCTATTTTATCTATTTAGGAGTGATTTATCACCTTGTGGACTGCTTTTTTACATGTAAATATATGCTTATAAGGTTTTGTGTTTGTTGTTGTTATTCCCTATAAAGGGACTAATTGTTATTTATTGGAAGAGGTACATTGTGTACATTTCTATGCTTCAACATATTTTCCTTTTTTTCTTGCCTTGGCTGTTTTACCCATCTAACGGATGTGAGTTCAGGGATTTCAATGAAACGTTTCTTGGTGTTACTAGGTCGAAAAATATTAGACACGTGTCCCAGCTTTCTTGCCAATTGGCTCTAGGAGCCGAGAAAAAATGTCGTATTTCTTTTAATGTAGATTTCTCCCTTTGTTGTGCATGTATTTATCATTTTTTTATAATAAGAAAATTATAAGTAAGACGGTAAAATTTTTACTACTTCAGTCAAAAATTAAGTATCTGGCAACTTTCCTGAGGGACAAAGCAATCATACATGGTTAAAATAGCTTTAATCTATCTTTTATTAAATTGAGGACCGAAGTAAGATAAATGGTAGTGGATACTAACGCCTTTACAAACTATGATGCAAATGTGTGCATTGTAAAATTGAATAACATACGAAATTTAGAGATTTTAACTTTAAAATAATACAAAAAGTTACGAAAACTAATCGTCCCTATCAATAANAATTCGGATTCGTTTTAAACGCCCTTGCAGCGTTTAGATTTATATCAATTTAAAAAAAATCAAAATTTTTCGGCTGGATGAAGCTTTTAATTCTCTAAAATCCGGTGTTCCGGATTTAAAAATTTACAACTCCTGCGAACTTTATCCAAATTCAATATTATTACAACCGTTGGTAAGCTGAATTTCTCTAATTTTAGATTCCGTCAATAATATTTGTATTTTACGTTAATATAAGTAAGAGAAATGAGGAAGATGTCAATACAAAACTCACAAACGTTTTATTTTATATCTCAGGTTCTAATTTATTTCGGACTAAGTTCACCTTTAAATTAAGTTTATATGATTCGAAACTGCGGTAAAGTTTCATTTAGATCAGTAGGATAGTTTCAATGTTATCGTCATTTTTGTGATTTTCGTAACAAAATCGGACGAATCGGAAGACGAAAAATTTGAGACTGGGGAGGGGGGTTACCAAAAATTTGTATTCAGGGGTGTTTTGGGTTGCAAGAAATCGAACATTGATTTTGTTTCTTGGTAAACAAATATTTTAACTTACTTTCACGTCACTACGTCAAATTTATATTTGGCAGTTAGCCTATAATGGGTATAGTAGATATTTAAATACAAAATTTTTGACCGACAAACGCAGCAAATAATGTAGTCCCACTTATATTTTCTAATCATACAAAAAATACAAATATACTAGTACATACAAACAGTAAATACATAAACAACAAAGGCAGAAAAGTACATTAAAAGAAAGTACTTCATTTTTTCTCGGCTCCTAGGGCCAATTGGCAAGAAAGCTCGGACACGTGTCTCATTATTTTTGACCTAGTATCACTAAAAAAAAGTTTCATTGACATTCCTGATCCCACGTACGATTGTCAGTATTCACATTGCAAGGATTAATTTCATTAAAGTGAAAATACATATGAGAGAATTTTCTCCTCAAAAATTCAACGTAAAACATATTTTTCATGTACAAATGCGCTAATAAAGGAACAGTTGCCAATAACAGTTTAAGGAGACTGTTTAAGCCATTAAATGGAGTTTGTAGAATTGTAAACGACTATAAAGTTTCATATAGATTGGTCGGATCGTTTCAAAGTTATCACCATTTTTGGGATTTTCGAATAAAAATCAGAAGAATTTGGGAAGAAGAAAAATTTGAGAATTTTTTCGGGGAAACGAATATCGACTTTATTTCTTGTTAAAAAATATTTTAACCTACTTTGTACACGTCACTCCATACTATCAAATTGAAACAACCCCTAAGTAATTGATCAAATAATTGATAGCCGGAGATGCAAGATAAAACCTAGTCTACTTGGAAAATTTTCATTTTGAAAATCAACGCTAAAAAAAAGTACATGACGTTACTTTTAAGAGCGTGGTACTTAAAAAAAAGCGGTGAATAATTAGAACCGATTAAAATCTTTCTCATAAATTTGAATTATTACTGGATAATCAGGATTTCCTGTTGCATAATTTCGAAATATGCATTGTTTGTAAACGCGGCCAAATCGCGAATCGGCGTGGCACTTTTTCTCCAATGGTACTGGAATAAAGTTGGAACGTTTTAAACAGTAAATAATCAAGGATTTTAATAGACAGATCTAGGTTAAAAACAAGCATAAACAGACTCTTAAATTGCAACGAAGAGACAAGATAACGGATAAATCTTACATAATACAAATATTATCCTTTCCAAGCTTAATTTTAAAAATGAATTTTAATCCCCATAAAAATTTGTTTAAGATTACTTTCCGGATCTTCAAAAAAAAAAGTCAAAATGTAAATGTGTATTAAAGGGTTTGATTTGAAAGGAAAAGACAATTTGTCATATGGAAAGCCAACAGGTCTAACAGTTTACTTGAGATTTGCCTACAGCAGTTTCACAATTGATTCTGAAAGTTTTGAATCTGGGAAATTGTATATGGTAATGACAGGCTTACAGGATAGAAACCTGGAGAAAAAGACCGTGTGATTTTCCCATTACCCGAAGGTTAGGGAACACGGCTTCCTCGAGGGCGGATTTTTTCCCATTGTTAATTGTTCCCAAGTGGTCCAGAAATGTCTTTGAACAGACACACTGAACTCTTTACATTTCTTTACAACTCTGGAATAAATGTTCTCCGGTGAACTTTGCAGAAGCCGGAAAATCGTAAAATGTCCAGCCATTAAGACGAATGCATTTAATGCCGTTGACCATTTATTTTTTTTCCGCTGCAATTTTATTTAATGAAAGAACAAAAAACCAGTTTTCCTTCGACGACTCTACACAAACCTTGGTCAAAACTTAAAATCTTAAAATTTTTAAATAAAAACAGCGTCAACCAGTAACTTTAGATCCTTCTAATATTCGAATTGTATTATTTATCAATAGATTTAGTATTCTTCGAGTTAAACGTATAAAAACTGTCTCTAAGGGAGCAAAGTAAAACCTGTTTCTTATGGTCATTGACACTAAACGCACCTGAGAACGGTTTACTCCAGGTACGCCAGGTTCGGAAGTTGTAAAGTGCTATTAAGCCCTGGAAAGGAAATGCACGGGCGCCGGGCGAAAGAAAAAAAATTAAATATTCATCACGAAACCTTAAGTCACCTGAAAAAGAAAAAGACATGTTTCTCCTGTCTACAAAGAAAAATATAACAAAAGAACAAATTTTACAAATTGGAAGTAGGATTTGTGAATTTATTTCTCACGAGGAAACGTCTCTAGGAGGTTGTTAAATGATGCGACAGGATGGAAGAGGAGGTTGTCACTTTGTGTTATATGACAAGGAAAGGAGGATGTGAAAAATTAATGGAACGTCTTAACCGTCGAATCTCATTCTACGCAGATCAGATTATTAATATAATAAACAATATAATAAAAAATATGTAACAAAAATTGTATATTCGATATCATCCAATAAAACGGTGAATATCCAAGGACCAACAACTAAATTAGGTGTTCTATCTCGATCATTACAAATCCTAGAAGGATATTCAAGCTCCAATGCATGGGAAATGTCCGAAAAACACATAAAGAATGTCAAAAATACAGTGAAAGCGTACTGAGATATTAAATATTACAATTGTTTTTTTTGCTCTTGTTTGTTTGATACTAGATCATTGAATTATAGAATTTATTAAGTAAAAATAAGGGAAGGTTAAAAGAAAAAGGAAAATTTGGCGTTCTATCTCGATTATTCCAAATTCTACAAGTACATCCCAGCTCTAAGTCATGGCAAATGTCTGAAAAGTAACCTAAAGACAGCCAAAGGCACAGTGAAAGAGTTTTGAGCAATTTAACATTTGAAAACTTTGTTTCGTCTTGTTTATTTTGATACTGGGTCCCTAATTGTAATGTGTAAAAATTAGGGAACGTTAATTGTAACAACTTTTCCTATCGTAAGTGATTACAATAAACGCAATGAAATTGATTAATTTGTGGCCATTATGAAAAACTTCAGTCCAATCGATATTTCTTCTAATAAAACAGCGATCCTGTGCAAGAAAAAAGACAAATTTGGCGCTCTAACTCGATTATTCCAAATTCTACTGGCATATTCAAGCTGTAATGCATGGAAAAGTCTGAAAAATCACATAAAGACTGAGTGAAAAAGTGAAAACGTTAGGACAAATTTAGAATTTCAATATTTACATTTTTTAATTTGTTGTTTCTTTAATACTAAATTTATTTAGAAATCGTGAGATGCGGTCTGGTGTGATGTAGGTTTCAGAAAAACATTTTCTTTATCGTGTCAACATTT